GCCCGGAGAGTTGTATGCTTAAATCGAGATCCGCACGGCACTTCCACACAGGCGAGCGGCCAACGCGCGAGTGAAATGCCGATGCAGAGAAGTATGCTAGGGAAATTTTCCAGGGAGAAAGTAGCTTCCTCTTCTAGCACTAGGGAATATCCTTTATTTAACGAGAGACAGAGAGAGAGAGAGCAAATAAAAGCCGCAGACCGGCGCTTTAAGCATTGCCAGCTTGGATTCAATGGATGGCAATACCTTTCTTTTTGGCTCAGCTGTTTTTTGTGGTAACTGGGGAAATGCTCTCTCTTTCCCATCGCTTCTCCTCGCCATCGCTATCTCGCTCACGGGTAATGGCATCTTGTGTATCGACCTTATGGGCTTCAAAAAAAGTTCCTCGGACCTGGACAAAAGTTTTCCATGTTCATATGTATGCATGTGTGTGTGCCGGACGGCGTTGCCATATTGCAGGCGCATAAATTATAACGGTAGCCTACAGATTCCAACTTTTTATTTTATTTTTTGGGAGAGATGTAGCTTTTGTTGGCCGGAGATGAAGCCGGAAGGTAGACCAGAACCATACAAAAATACACACACGTACCAGCAGAAGAAAAAAAGTTACAAAATTTAAAAAAAAATGCGATACAACAGAGAAGTCAAAACAAGGACTTGTAAAAATGCAAAACACACATACCAACAGCCATTTACTAATCAACACAACAACAATAACCCCACAAACAAACATGTTCGGCATACAAACACACAGACAGGACATCCTAACATATGCAAGAGTGCGTGTAACGGTAACGTAATACCTTGACAATGTCCCACCTTGTCTCTCCCACGCACACACACATGGTCGCAGGGACATACGCACACAGAATGCTTTTAATACATTTTAAGCCGCATTTTTTCACACGTGGCCACATAACAACAAAAAGAAGAAAACAAGAAAATAAGGTACAGTCAAGTGTCCCGACATGACAAATATCCAGTACCAAGTTTTTATAATCATTGCCTACTTTCTGGCGACTGAATAATAAATCTAAAATCGATCTCATGACCTTGTTATTTGCTTTAACGATATGAAATTGGGATGCGCGTAGAAATAGGAAAAACCTTTGACCTTAAGGTAGATATAATAATCTTTTAAAGTAAACTAAACTGAAGTCCGAAACTTTTGCAAAAAAAGTATATACCCTTTTGCAAAGAGGGGGTATAACAACAACTAACATGCCGTCCCTACACACTGTTATTTTTGCTCATATGGAGATATGAAGGTGGGGAATGGCCACAAAATATCAGGAAGCCTGGTCCCCAGCACAAAAACAAAGCCGCATAAAAAGGGAAGCGGAAACTGTAACACCCTCTCCATCAAACCACCTCCCCCGACCAACTTTGTTTAGTGCGGCTGGGAGTTATCATATCTGCCGGGCCGTTAGTTGCCTGTTTTCTTGTCCTGTTTTCTTTTCAGAGCCGTGTTCGGAAAAAACAGAATGACCACAGGTATGGAATGACCGGGGATAATGCGGATAACTCGAAAAGGAAAATGTAAGAGGCCTTTAGGTTTTAAGTAAATCCCTTTCTAAAGACAATGAATAATTCAAATCCTTACACATCGAAAACTGATGGTTCGTGGTTATAATTTATATAGTTAATCTTCAAGGGGTGAAATACTTTACTATATGCGAAATTGATTTCTAATCATTGGATTTCTAACAATCCTTGATTTTTTCATTTAGTCATGACTAGATTAAGCTTAAATCTACTTATGATATAAATTGTAGTTTTAGAATTTGAACAAAGAATGTAGTGTGTTCCTTGTTCATTATGTTTTAACCTCAGGACCAGCTTTTTTAGTAATTTACTGTGCGAAAGGGTTTTGTGTTTGTCATTTGCCGAACGAATGTGGTAAGTGAAACCTTTTTTGTTGTTGCGGCAAGCATAATTAAGCACAAAACTCGAATGAATGTGTATGAGTGAGATCGCCAAAAACCGCACAACAGGAAAATTAAAATTCCAAAAAAGCCGGCGAAAACTTAAACCCACACGAAGCAAACAATTTAATTATAATGAATTATAAATGAGGCCGGCGAGCCAAGATCCAAGCAGAATTTATATGCAAATAAGTCGGAGGTACGGAAGAGTAAACAAAAAAAGTAGAAGAACGCAACGTGCCTTAGGCAATTGCCATAAGACTTGGGCTTCTCGAGCATGCGAGTGTGTGTACGGGTTAATTAATATTTTATGTTATTAACTCGAGTGGATGATGCAGCCTTCGGATGCTGGGAAGACAGAAGGCAGTCGGGAAAACTCACGGGGAAAACTCAAGTTTATTGAGCTAATAAGACGCGCCTCGCTCTCACATTGTTTAATCAGGCTTAAATGTTTATGAGCTTGGTTAAGTATTGGAAGCTACGGCGGAATGCTTTGCTTATTGGCTAATTAATTTAGCTACGGCCTACTTTGAAGAAAATAATTTTAAAACGTGAAGAATTAAACATCATATTTAGAAGTGTGCACTACTATAAATGCACATAATGTTTAATTAGATATCTATTACTAATACTAGTTGAGCTTCTAGTTGTGTCACAGCAAAACAACTTTGATAATTTAACTGACCCTATTAGATAAGTTTTTATGATACTTTAACTAACATACTTCTATTTAACCAACATAACCATTGGTTAAGAATGACAAACTAAAAAACATTTAGAAAAAGTTCGAACACATTTGAGATTTCAAATGAGTTAGATCCAAAATGGATAAAAATTTTTTACCTATTAAATTTAGCTAATATTAGAAAAATAAAATAATTACAAACTCACCATGAATAACTAATTGAGAGTCGTAGTTCATTTCGTAGAGTCGTATGGCCTCGTCCAGTTCCATTTTCGTTGATATGGTGCAGGGATCGTTCTCCTCATCAACCCATTTAATGGTAAATGGCTTAAGTAAAACAATTTAGAACGATTTTTGGTTTAAATTATTTTAAATATTGTTACCTGATCAAGAGGAAACCGACATATGTTGCGTATTTCATAGCAGAGCTCCTCATACGAGATATTCTTGTTGACGGTGGTGATGATGATCTGGCCATTGTAGGCGGTCTTCACCGTAATGCTATTGGGCGTATTGGCCATGTTCATACTGGCGCTGTTCAAGCTAACGCTGCTCCCGTCGTTCAGTATTTGCGAGGGCATTTTCTGCATTTGCTAGCTGGCTAAAATGATTTGATAACACGTAACACACAGAGACACACGAATTGATAACAGAATACTGCAAGAATAAGAAGAGATATACGTTTAAGATAAAGTGCGTTACAGTTAAACTTATTTAAAGGGAACTTTTATTAAGAGACGTTTTTACCGATGTCATATATTTAATTTCTAAAGTTCCACTTTATAAAACTCTAAAAATACATTAAAAGTTTCCATGTCTTTGAACCCATAACGGAAGTCTTTCGGGTAAAGCATATAGATAAAGTATGAAAAACAAAAATTTCTTTAAACTTCGGAAAAACCCAACAAAAAAAGGAATTGCGATAGCATTACAAATAATATAAAAACTTTCTATGTTATAAAATTTCTAGATTAAGTATCTAGACATTTAAACGTTCTACGGATAAGTAAAATACTAATTATCTGGATGACTAGGTTAAAAATGATTAACTCTGGTAATCTAGAAGTGGAACCAGTTTCACATACTCCAATTCGCTATAGCTTTCACTTAGTTCGTGACATAGAAGTTCGACTGTATAAAGTGATATCTTTAAGTTCGCCAAGTAGCTGAAAAAGATAAAAGTTGAAGAATTTTAAATGAACTTTTTCCGCTCTCCCGTTATCGTTCTCTCTTTGAAATCCCGATTTGAAATCCCGCCCAAAACGAAACGTCAACTTTGACATTTGAGGCACACACACACACAAAGCGAACTGCATGCCACAGGTAGTTGTTGTTGTGTCTGCTGCACCAAAGGCGGAGACAAACACAAAACGAATAAGACAAAACAAACGCGAATGAATCATGCGAAACGCCCACAAAACAATAAAAGAAGAAAAGTAAGTGGAATTAGCACGCCAAAGCGAGTGTGCAAATTAGTTTATTTTTACTCCTGTCCTCTCTTTTCTCCCCTATTTACTTGGCATCCGAGTACTTAGCATTTGAGCGTAATTAATGCCGTACATTGACCAAGGTAACTGTTAAAAGTACCCAGTTGGCAACAACAACAGTGCAACAAATGAGCGAAAAAGGGAGGGGAGAGGGGCGGAAAGAGAGAGCGGGAGATCCAGAGTCGACAACCTGTTTTAACTCATTAGCATTTTTCAATTAAGACGCCGCTTTTTTAACTTTAGCACTTGAAACTCAACTTAAGCTTACTGTTTGACTCACACTAGTTTCCTTAGTTTGTTTAACCACAAAAAATACGCACAAAACGCCGCACAAAAACACTGTGACAAATCAAAAAACACGAAACATTTAAATTAAAGCCAATCAGTGTGCCGCATACTTTCTAATTAAAGCACTGGCACTCGCACTCTTTTAATTAATTGTTATGGCCTAAACGAATTAAAACTAACATTGCTATGTTCCTCCGTTTATTTCGTTTTGGAAGGAGAGCACAAAGCGGAGAACGCGAAGTGACAGCTCAGAAAAATACTAAATAGCCAAGTGTTGCAAGGCACGTAAAAGTAAAGGATTGGCAACTCTGTTTGGGGTCGGTATTTAAATACTTGAGGTCTCAAAAATAATGGTATTTTCCCGCTCTCTAGAGAAGGAGACAATTTTCACAGTCGAGGACTTTAATTATTTGTCATGACGGTTTAAAATGGGATATCTATAAAAAAATAAATGCTATAGAACTGTGGCTTGAAATATTTTAATTAAACATCTAATATAAGCTAACCAAGTTGAAATACCAAAACATCGATAGATGTCATATACAATCGATATTTTTAGGAACGGTATATTTCAACGGCCCGGCTGCGGTCACACCAAGTTTTGTTTTCGTTTTTTCCGCCGTTCGGACGTCTGTTGCGGAGTGCTCGATGTTCGTTAGTTTTGAAACCGAAATAACACATTAATACAAATATTTCAACAAGTTAAAGTGCTTATGAATACCTGCAAAAAACCGTGGTAAAAATTAAAAGTTAAATTTAAAAACAAACTCGAGTAATTACTACGAAAGAAAATGGCGGCTCAGCAAACAATAAAGAGCAGTCGCGACAGCAACAACAACTGAGCAAGAAATTCAGCTTAAAAGAAACCAACGAAGGAAAAAACCGTCAACATTTTCGTCTGCCTGAAATTAATCTGGTTTTTATGTTTTACTCGCGCGTCGCAGACATAAAATAAAGACAACAACAAACAGTGAGTTTTGGTGTATGTGTGCGTTTTATGCCGTTTGTTTGTCTCCTGTTTTTGTGGAAAAGGCCATAAAAAACGTGAAATTCATTAAGCTACAAAAGCAACAATTACGAGCGTTTTACATTGTTTACATTTTGTGTGCCAGCTTTTCGTTACGCTTGTGATTTATGCGATTTGTTGACAGAAAGGCGAAGGGGCGGCGATACCTCAGACATAGCCTGGAAAAACTAATTTCTACTAATTAAGTGAGTTCTTAGTACGTTGTTTTTAATTAACTCTACATTTAATTTTGTCTTTAAAAAACGACTAGTGTTTTTATTGCATTTCGCACAGGCGGCAACCCTTTTTGTGTTTTTATTTTGATGCCGCCTTCGTCCTGCGCTGCCTGCGTCGACGTCGGCGTCGCCATCTGTCACTTTCGAGGGTTGCCAGCTGTTTCGCTGCGCCTTTTATTAAATGCGGCATCTTAGGCATCTGCAGGAAATTGGGTTTCCAAAAAAAAGGAAACAAAAGGAAGCGAGGAGAAGGGGCATTCACGACTGCAGCTGCAGCTGTTTAGGCTTATGTAATTAATAAACCAACACGTGTCTGGCATTGCTAATGGCACGTGACAACTCTGGTCGTGAGAAGTGGGGGTGCAATAACAATAAACTCTTTTTATTTTATTGTTTTTCCTATTATAATTCCTCCTTTTGCATAATTTTCTTTCCTTATTAATTAAAATCCAGAGCTCTAGGTATTTCTTTATTTTGCTCTTTGGTTGTTATGGCTCAGATTGCGCCATAAAACTCATATAAATCAATAGAAAGCGCAGCACCACACACACACACACCCACAAAAACCATAACTCACTTGCCATAATGAAACGAGTGAGAGAGAGAGAGAGAGAGGATAAGAGACCGCGCTCAATATGCAGAGATTTGTGTGGGAATCAAATGACTGGATGTCGTTGTCTCCAATGAAGTGTTAGAATAACGGTGGGGGAGGGGAGGTGAGTTGGGCGGTAATAGCTCCACCAAGAGATTAGAGAGGCAGAGAGCGGCCTGGCAGCTGCGCGCTTCTCAAATAAAGTTGCCGCTGGAGCCGTCGCTCTCTCTATTTCTCTTATTGGCTTGTGCTGCATGAAAAGTGGTTGTGCTTGGTTTATGTGCATGTGTGTGTGGCTCGGTTTGTTTGTCTTTTCTGTGGCATTCAACGCACAGTGGAATAGATAAGCAGATTATCAATTACTGAGCCCACTTCCTCACACTGAACTTCTTACTTTTGAAATATATGTAAGTTCTTCAAGTTGAATGATCTTAAAAGAGCTTTTATCTACAATGGAATTTATAGAAACGGAATTTTAAAAAATTTATGTATTCAACACAAACCGGATTTGAAAGGGGCTTAGATTTAAAAAAAAATCTTTAGGGAATTCTAAATACTGGGACTCTGATTTGCTTCTAAATAAGATGTTTATGACTCTATAGAAGGACATTTTCGGCTTACTTGTTCATAATGTATTAATCTATAACTCCCACACAAAACTATGTTAAAATATTTTAAACTAAAATAAAAAAAATCAAATAAATATAATTTTGACTTCCGTAAATCTTTTCTATATTTGTCGGTTGGTTCGAGTCTAAAAGACCCACCTCTCTTGAAATTTTCCACTGTGCCGGCTGCATTTCCATCGTTGCCAATGGCAACCACTTTAGGGAATAAAACCTGTGCCTGCTTATTGAAGCTACGCTTTGTTTTCCCATTTCTCTTTCTTCGACATCAGTCCCCCAGCCCTCCTTCATTCATTTATTAACTAACTAATTTGCCAGGCCCGAAACAAATTGCCCAGTGGAATTGTTATTGTTTCAATTGCAACAAATTGGCCGCTGAGAATAATGGTTTTCTCTCCTTGAGAGAGGCGAAAACAAGTACAAGTTGCGCACTCGCTCTCCTCGGAGCTCTCTCGCCTTGCTCCGACTCTCTCTCTGTCGCTCTCTCTTGCAACTTCGAGGACTCCGGACTCCAATTGGATTTTACGGACCTGGCTTTAACGCTCGAATGCTGGAGCCGCGTTTCAATACGCTTTGACTTGCGGTCGTCGGCGCTTCTCTTTTTCGGGCTCCTCTCGCTCCAAGTCTCCGATTCTCCAATTCTCAACATACAGGCTACTTTTCTGCTCGGTATACGCTGGCGCGCGTATGTGTGTGTGCGTGTGTGTGTCGGTGTTAACGTAAAAAGAAATTTTTGCACAGCATTTTTCGTATGAAAAATCAATTGCTGTCCATGTGAAATCCCCAGTTAATGTGAATTTCAAGTGTCAATATAAGGTTTTCATAGAAATCTGTCAGAAATTCATCGTTTTACCATGGTAATTTACATATTTTTTGCACAGTTGTTCTAATCCTACGCATGTGTGTCAGTGTGTGTGACTACGCTTCGTGGTGTGTGTGTGCGTAGTAGTAAGCCGCATACGAATTTTCGGCGAAAAAATTGTAGGCGGTGGGTGGGGCTAGAGGCAAGTGCCTCAAAAAGTCTCAAAAAGTTCAATGTAGCTGTAAAACGCCGAGCTCTGCCCTCCATTATTCATTCGGTTACACAGAAAAAAAGGGAATTATATACAAATGGATGGGAATGGTCAAGAGGATGGCTTACACTCCATTTTAACTAAGTTTTATAAAATCTAAGCTATACATGTTCGATATGTTAGATTTTGTTGTAGGAAGTCTAGCTTTTCTCGCGAATTCTTAAGCTTTTTATTTTTCTTATATTAACGACGGGTTGTCCAAGGGTTTCCCCTTTTAAAAAGGGGACCTAAATAACCTTTTATCCTAAAACAAAAATTTTCATGTGAGGTCATGTCTTGTCTTCTGTGACATTATAAGTGTCTAATCAAACTTGGAATGTATCCACATTTTTTCCGTGTACCTCCTACTTTTCTCCCTCCTCCCCCTTGGGCCCCCACTCGCCTTTCTTCTTCATGTCTTGTAACTGCTTTTGTCTGCACTCATTGCTCGCCTTACAACTTGTTTGCCCCTTTCTTCTTGACCAAAAAAAAAAAAGAAAATATACAAAAAGAAGGAATTGATGGCCGCTTTTGGTACGACTTCGAGTATATTTCTCTACGTGCCTGTCCGCCGTATTTGGTCCGTCTCAGTTTTCTGTCTTTATTTTTCCTGTACTGTACTATATGCCATATGCGCAACGCAATGTCGTCTTCGTTTGCATTAACCGTTAAACTGCACGTAAGTTGTCCGTCTGTCTGTCCGTTTTCCACCCGCCCGCCCACACTTTTGACACATCTTCAGCGCTGCATTTTCCTCCTACGAGCTTTATTCCGCTCCTCCAAAAACATCGGCCATAAAAGGGTACTACAAGGTATATCGGGTTGTGTGTGGAATTCGGAGCGTGATTTACGGATAGGGGTTGGGATATATGGATACTCCTAATGGAATATGTCCGCCTAATTTGGCCATTGCCATTGAACATGTGCGTTATTGATTTTGGGATGGGGTGCCAGCCATTAGGCCATCACTTATTCATGGGTCATTTTCGAGGAAGATGAACTTTGAAAATGGCAGATAATTGCAAAAGGATATTTTGAAAATGCCATTTAATTAGAGCAATCAAGCAAGCTAAAAAGCATGCTCCACGAAGACTTTGAAGTTAAATTGGCAATAATTGAAAAAAGTAATTGCAGTGAATACTTAATTTTCTTCTTTGTAGGGTCTTAATTGGACTATTGATTTTTGAGTAAGAAAAAAGTAATACAATTATTGGAATGGTGTATGTTACTGCTCTAGCCCCTAGGATAGCCTTTCTTCTGTTTTAAAAGTAGTTTTCAAAGCGTAAGATATTTTCCAATTCATTTTTATAACTTAAACCTCACTGAACTGTCCTCGAAAATCGTTTATTTAGAGGGTAGCAGTACAGCTCCCTCAATGCTCCTTATTGCAGTTCACTTCATATAGCTGTTATGGCGCTGTTTTTGCCTGTTCTTGGCGTTTGCCTGAAACCTGAAACAAAACGCAGAGACAATGCACAAGCAACAACAACAGCGACAACTCCCTTTTACAGGCAAAACAAGTTTTGACTGCCTCTGGCCATTTATTGTTGCTGGAGTTTGGAGTTGGAGTCGGAGACGGAGTTTGTGGTTGCTGCTTGTCTCTGCGCTTTGCAAGATCAACATCTCGAGCTATCGACAGGCTTTGTGGCAAAGAAATGGTAAAGTTTTCAGGCGGCAGGGAATCACGGAGCAGGCAGCATCATCGACACCATCTTTTGTGCGGTTTTTGGTTGTTGTCGTTCCACGTTTATTGTGGTTGCTGCACAGCGGAAAAAGCTGAATACAAATCCAATTCGAAAAGATTTTGGAATATTAATTGACTTTGAACTATCATTCGTTTCATTGAATTGAAAACTTAAAAAATCCTAATTTAGACCATAATTTTGGTTGCATGGTCACACTCTTCCGCTTATATGCAAAAGCTTGAAGCCAGTTATTAAAATAAACACAATTAAATATATTACTAAATCCCTATTTTTTAATTTTAATAAATTAATATTTAGACAGGGTATTACTATTAAAAATATTTTCCCGATTTACCTCAAGTACAAGCTAAAAACCTAACTAATCGGTGATCTTTTAATAATAATTTTTCTCCCCGTGTTCGTAGCTTTCTTTCTTTTTGTTTGGTTTGACAAAATATTCTACTAAGTACAAAACCTTTACTTGAGACCGGGCGTGGTAAACACGAATAAAGTACGACCGAACTTTGTCCATTGCATTTCGGGTAAAATAAAGAAAATAAGGGGCAGTAGAGAAAAAAAAGGGAAAAAGCGAGTGAAGGAGTGAAAAAAAACTTGTCATATATGCAAAACACCCGCAGCTGATAAATAAGAAGCAGAGTCGTCCAACCTTTTGTTGTCAATAATGAAGTGTTGGCCGACTGAAGTCCGGGTAGTGTGGGGGTGTTTTTTCCGATGTGGGACCTTCCTTTATCTATCTGCCTTAATGACACCAGCACACACTCACAAGCAGCGTTAATAAACATGAGATTGAGATGCGCCTCATTTGATGCCAACCTCCTGTGGGTCTGAATGGCATATATCGGCACTATGTGGCATCTGGTGGGTCCAATGCGGTGGTGGGTTATTCAGTGGGTGGTGGTGGTGTGCTGACTGAGCTGGCCGTTCTGGTGATAGATTGGCCGTGTTACCGTTTGCCATTTTATTGCGCTCCATTTGGCTGATTACTCATGCCAGTAAACTTTAACGGCTCTCGACAGCGACAAAAACGCTATGAAAGAGAAGAATACGATCCACTAAATGGAGCGAATCTAGCGAAGATTAAATACGCTTTTCTTGCTTCGTTTTTGGGTTGTAGAGTAGACAATAAACTGTCGAATAACTTTTTGGCAAGGGATTAAATTTCACGGGTTTACTATAAGCATTTTACTTGTTCTTAAGATTCCTTGATTCTTGAGTTTTAAATAAAATATAATACAGACCGAAAATTAAAATAAATAAAATTATGAATAAATATTTTCTTTTAATATAAATTATATGATGATGTTTTATAAGCTATTGGAACCATTTCTTAAAAAAAATCTTTTATTAATTTTATTCCCTTTGTAAGTTTAACGTAGTTGTCCATTAAGCTTATTCTCAAAAAGAGTATAAAAATTGCGGTCATTTTGTATCTGATTTATCAGTTATTCCCTTCCGCCCTCTCTTTTGTATCTGTGTGCTTCAATGTGTTGAGAGCACTGGTGTAACCATAATTATTTTTAGTTGCTCAGCGTTTTTGCTGCCAACTTCAAAACCGCAACTCCGCTTCATTGTACATCTATCAATATGTGTGTATGTGTAAGTGTGTGTGTGTGACAATCAATAAATCTTTCAGCCTGTTGGCCGAACAACCACCCACCAACCCCCCTGCCTTTGGACTATTTCCCTTTTGTATTTATGTATTTGCCAACACCCAAAAGGTCCCAAGCCTCCAATTGCATTTCCAATCAGTTTTTATGCTGCACACAGTGAACACTCGCCAGGGGAGACCCCTCAATAGATTCAAAATTGATTTCGATTTTATATCCACACTTTTAAGCCAAAGCTGGCATTCGCCGAGCATGAAAGACAGGGCAAGTGTTATGCTCATTACGATTACTCACCACCCACAGCACAGGCTATGCACTGAAATAAAAACTAAATAGATACAAAAGCGAAGTTTTCTCGAAAAAAACAATATTTAGATTTACTCAATTTTAGGTTAAAAAAAGGATTAATATTTTATCATAGAAAAATCATTGGTTAAATTCTTTCTTTCGTTTTTTATTAGATTCAACTGTCTAAATAATTTTAATATTTTACAAGTGTTAGTGTCATAAGGCTAACCTTTTCTTAAAAACACATATATTTCCACCGGTTTAAAAATTAAATTGACCAATTCCAAACAACTTCGCATGGTATTTCACTATTTTTTCTGTGTATATTATAGCTCTACCCCAACTCCCTCCCTTTATAGAGAAGTGTGGGGGCTTGCCTGTTTCATGTTTGCAATTAAACTTACAGCTCCTAACAATGGTAGCTCATAAAAATGGGATAACAAAAACAGGGTAAAAAAAGAGACAAAAATTAAAAAAGGAAAAAACTGCAATGCCGGCCGCATAAAACGGTTCAACAACATCTGGTGGGTGGGTGGTTTTTGGTAAATGGAGGGCTGTGGAGGGGTGGCGGGCTGAGAGGTGGGTGGGTGCAGCTCGTGTGGGCGGCCAAAACAACACAATACAGAGCAACCGCAACCCACATTCGCTGCTGCAGTTGATATACTACCCTACTACGCGAAAACTCCATTTCTGCTCTTTGTCTCTCTCTCTCGGAGAGAAAATTCTCTCTCTTTGGGGATTTTCGCAACGGTTGCAGTTTTTCCTTTTTTTCCGGCACGTCGCATACATAAAAATTCATTAAAAAGGCAGCTTGTAAATGAGATTTACTACTGCCACCGTTATGCGTTTTTCAGTTTCTGCTACGTTTTTGCTGCATTTTCCTTTTTCCGCAACCCACACACATTATGACACACTCGGATTATGACACCTGGCGCTTTGGATTTTCACTCGCCGGCCGGGCAGCGAGTTTCCAATCGAACAGGTGGTCCCCCGATTTTATCGATAGGCAAGCGGCGAATGCAATTGCGGCCTTTTGAATTCCAAATCACTTATTTCTTTTGTAGTACCCGAGCACTTACTTTGTAAGCGAATTGCCAGGAAATTGCTGCTGCAGCTTTGGTTTTTTTTATTGTTTCCCCGTAAATCGGGCGGCTTTATTATTGCGCCCTGCTGCTAATGACATGTTGAGGGCTTCGTTCGTGACTTTTCGCCAGATTTCGCTCGTCCGAGGTCTGCCCGTGCATTTTTCGAGTGTATTATGACGCTGCCGACTAGACAGCAGCAGTAGCAGCCGCTGCCCTGCCCCTTTCGAACCACAAAATGCAGTCAACAAACTTTGACACAGCTCGTGCCGCAGCCAAAGTCCCACAGTCCTCGCCCTTTCACAGGGTCTCACCATATCTCGCCCTCTCTCCCTCCGAGCCAGCTGCTTAGAACTCGTCGTCTATGGGTGTTTGTTTTGGGGGCATCAAGGGCGTATCAGGCAAGTTTGGTAAATGATGATTGGTCTAAATGATTGGTATTTTCAAGAAAATTTCTTTAAATAATCCTAAAAATCCGAAAAACGTAATATTGGTGTTTCGCTAAGCCCTAGTATTTTATGAGTAGAGATCTAAATGGATAGTTGGAAAACAACCCAATAATCTCTAGACAGTTTTATCAAAATCCAAAAATGCACTTTACCTAGGTTCTAGAAAATATGATAAAAACAAAAACAATTACTAAATCAAAACTCGCATATTTTAATAAAAAATAAAATTTAATTAAAAATGTATAACTTCAGCATCTCAAAATGTGGGTTAGTGTCAAATGGTCATTACGAAACTTAAAGAGCTTTAAACATTTTAAAATAATTCCCACTTCAAAAGGTTTTCGTTTGTTTCCAATATGAATATTTATTAGATTTGTTAATTAAATAAGGTTTTAGTTTGTTATATAAAATTAGAAAAATCTATATACATTTTAAACCCTATACTTTAAAAGAAATGGGTAATCCCCATGTCGCCACCAATTAAGTTGTCATGTTTTTATACCCGTTACTCGTAGAGTAAAAGGGTATACTAGATTCGTGCAAAAGTATGTAACAGCTAGAAGGAAGCGTTTCCGACCCCATAAAGTATATATATTCTTGATCAGGGTCACTAGCCGAGTCGATCTAGCCATGTCCGTCTGTCCGTCTGTCCGTCTGTCCGTCTGTCCGTCTGTCTGTCTGTCCGTCTGTATGAACGCTGAGATCTCAGAAACTACAAAAGCTAGAAGGTTGAGATTTCCCACACATATTCTTTGGCTTCCTACGCAGCGCAAGTTTATTTTAGCCGAGCGCCACGCCCCCTCTAACGCCCACAATCGCCCACTAACGATTTTAAAATGGGTCCTGCGCCCACATCTTTAAAGATTTCCGAGAAGTATAAATGCAATTTTGTTGTGTATATTTATACCTATCGAAATGTAGAAGACATTTTTCAAATCGGACCATTCATTAAAAAGTTATACGCAATCAAAAATTATATATCTATCTCCCTCGCACTTTAGCTGAGTTACGATTATTAGTCGGGACACCGACACCCGACACAGCGTTTGCACTCCCTTTAGCTGAGTGACGGGTATTTAGATAGTCGGGACAACAACCCGACTATAGCGTTCTCTCTTGTTTGTGAATGAAAAGTGTAATACGATGCAGTGGAGTAGATAAATGGGTGAAGGGAAGGGGCCCAAAAACAGGAGGCTGTAGGAGAATTGGAGAACCCGTGGCGCAGTTTATTGACTCGCCGCCGCATCGCCGAGTAAACAGTGTTGGGAGCCCTATTTTTAGAGTAGAACATCAAAACTGTCTATGACCAATTATGCAGATTTCTTGTTTTCTGGCACACACATCTGGCGGACACATTTGCCCATGTAACTGCAGTACTGATTTTCCTCCCGTCTTTTTTGTGTGTTTTTCCAACAGGAGTCGGCGAAGATACGGCCCCGGCGGCCAGTAGAGGCCCATAATAATCATGCATCGTTCGCTGAAGCCGCATGCATCTACCGCACAGGCTAAGAAGGTGCAACCGCCCACGATACCAGGGGATTCGCCGCAGGACTCGCACCATTATCAGCAGCCGCAGCAGCACCACCACCATCACCACCCGCACCACCAGCCGCTGATACCGCTCTACCGGCTGAGCGGACCGCTGCGCCATCACCAGAACCACCAGGCGGACGATGGGATCAGCATGAGCGGCAGCAGCATCGTTTCGTCGCCCTCGCTGGAGGAGGGTGGCTTCAATTTGCCCCGGGAGACGAGTGTGGCCCTGCGTCTCAAGGATGAAGTGGGTGGCCCGGCGGTAGCCCCTTCAACTGGCGGAGGAGGAGGAGGTGCGCCGGTGGTAGGGGCACCGCCTCCAGGAGCTGGAAAGCCAGGAGTTGCCATGGTCCCGCCACCACCCGTTTTCTGTGCCACTCTGCGCGAACCGCTGACCCACAAGGCGGCCGTCTACTACCACCAGCAGCTGGCTTTGCAGGAGGATCAGGGCATCGATCTGACCCAATCGCCTGGCCGAGATTCCCCGGGCTCCTCCTCGGGGTCCGCCGGCTCGGGATCTCGTCACAGCACCGCCAGCTTGGACTCGGGACGGGCTTCCTCCTACCTGACGGGGGTGTCCTCGTCGGGCGCCTCCATTCGGGCACCGCTCTCCTCGCCGCGCTGCAGTTCCGTGAGTTCCTGCTCAATTGGCAGCGTGGATCGGCAGCGGAACGATGAGCTCATCATCGACTGGCTGCTGGAGATGAAGCACGAGGAGTACGCCCAGCTGTTCATCGCCGCGGGCTACGATCTGCCCACTATTGCACGCATGACGCCGGAGGATCTCACCGCCATTGGCATCAAGAATCCGCATCATCGAGAGCGGATCAAGCAGCGGATCGACAAGCTGCAGGTGCTCGACAATTTGCCACATTTTGTGCCGGTAAGTACAATGATATATACCCACTTATGGAACTTAAAAGGGAGAAAAATATTTTAAAAAGCTTAATATATTAGGTATATTTAACACATTGTGTTTACCCTTTCGAGAATCTTCTGCAATTAGAAACGAACTTTATCTCGAGGCAATAAAAGTCTACAGTTCCGGAGAAATATCTCTATTTGTTAGCACGCCCGCAAATATTTGCTTATCTAATCAGTACAGAACCAGTTCAACTCGTGATGCATTTTATGGTACAGTAGAGACTTTTAAGTGGAAAAGAATTATTCAAATGCATTTTAAGTATTGTCAACAGGTGGTTAAAGAAATTTTACTTTTCAGATAGCCTACACTGTTTGTTAACTGCTTGGATATTTAACAAAATATTTAGTATGTACTAAAATGTATTAAAATAATCCTATTAATAAGCATTTAAAAGTCAAAGTTATTTCAGGGATTAACTAATTGATAAAAGAGAAATACAACTTTTAAAACGGGTTTTCACAAAATCGAGTCGCTAACTTTAAATATTTTATTTTAAAGCCTTAAAAAAAGAGTAGGCAATAAAGAAAAAGAATATGTATGTACCTTCAATCGATTTTAAAGGAAATGGCCCATTAACAATCAAGCTGGAATACTTAAAGATTAAAAAAGAGGCGGTATACCTACCATTGCCTAGGGTAGCGATCAACTACTGTGAATGTTGGCCTGCAATCACGTAGAGCAGCTTATTTAGTCATTGTTAACACAGATAGACGCTCACTCACACAGTTGCGAGCTTGGCAAATTGCCATATTGGCATTAATTGTGGCCGGCAACACCCTATTCTCTCTTTTCGCCTTTTCCACTGTTTGCTTGTTTAGTTGCCGGCTTATCTTTTATATTTCATTAAATAAGCATTTGCAAAAAAAAAAAAAGAGAAAGAGCAGAGGAAACAAACTTGTTTCCCACATGCGAAAGAGAAAAAGAGAACTTAAAACAGCGCCGTCAGCGAATTTTTTTTATTTATTGTTAATGAAAGAATTTCATTTAATATGCGCACATTAATTCCCATCAACAATTCATTAAAAACACGCCGAGCGGAGTGAATAAATATAAAAATTAAAAGTCCATTCGTGTGGATATCTGCGGTGACATTAAGTTGAACTTGAAATAGCAGCAGCAACCTGCTCCATCGCGGATAATTGCTCCCCGGATCGAAGCCGATCATTAGCCAATCGATCTGACAGATCAAGGTTCCAAATGAACGGCTGAGATGATGGCTAACAATGCGCATACAGTGAGATTCCATTCAAAGTCGAGTTTTGGCATTAGGAATAATGGATTTGAATGGATTTATTGGGGGTGAACAAACTGTTGAGACCAAAAAATTTAGAATCTGATAAGACCAGCATTGAATTTGCATTACTTCCGTAACAATTGGTTTTTATTTCTGAATTTTTAACATCTGAATTTTAACAATTCCAATTTTAAAATAATTTCAATAATAGTTGACTCTCCAAAAAAAGTATTAGCCATAAGTGTTAAAAGTAAAACGTTGTTTTAATATATCGGCTCTTAAACTTCCGCCTTAAAACTCGGGCATGTAAATTATTCAGCAAACTTAAGCTGCACTAAAATTCGTACAAAAAGTACGTGACTTACGAAATGCAACCACCTGAGGTCTTATCAATATGCATTTCACGTTTAGCCCTAAACAACGCTTTCAAGTCGAATGACTAACCCCGAATAAAATCAACACGATGTGCATATGGAAATGCATACAAATCAGAAGTGAAACATATCACCGAAAAATGGCTTCAAAGTCTAAAAACTTGACCAACATAAATATTCCGAATTTTAAGCTCCACTTGGAAACGAATTCAAGTCAATGTTGTGCCTTTGAAAAATGCTCCAAAAATGCCTCCATAAATTAACATTATTTGTTTGGCCATACCATCCACATCTGCGACATGAGTTCCACATTCACACAGTGCATTCCGTTGCCGATTAACACCCATCGGCCATAATCTTCAACTTCAACTGCAGCTTCAACTGATTCATTTCGTCAGCCTGCACATATATATATTTTTAGGTACACACATATATGGGTGTAAAACTGCATTCCCCGCCCACTCGGGTGTATTGCAGCCCACCTGCCAGCACAGCGAATACAGAAAATATCATTTATCGCTTTTATCGATCATTCAACGGACTCAAACTTGTGCCACATTCCGTTCGATTTCGGTTAATTGCTAGTTTTTCTCCATCTAATAACCTCCATTTCAGTGTTTCATTATCGATCCGCCTCGAATCTTTTTCAAGCGATTTGCTACGCTCTTTAGCTGCAATTTTTCAAATCAGAATGACCTCAGCTTTTGTTTTTCTCCGCCGTTTTTTTGTTTGTTTCACAGACGGTTTTGTATTTCATCTGAAAAATGCGCCATAATATTTTACTAGCTGTAGAATTTTGCGCTTTTTGCTGTTTAGCATTCAATTTTTCTGTTTATATAACGCGCCGTGACTGTTTTCGCCAAGTTTGCCAAGTTTTGTGGTCGAGTTACCGGTATTGTTGTCGTTCTTTATCGCTCCACTCGATATTTCTTATTTGTTGATCTTGGGCGAGCCACTCTTTGTCTTTCGGGGTGTTGTTGGAGGGTTCTTCAGCACTGAGGAAATATGTTCATATTTTTCGATTGATAATATCTTTAATTCGTACAAAATAATACAGCAGAAAATATATTGCTACAAGTAATGTTAAGAATTTTATACATTCATTTATCTTATACCTAAATCTTTGAAAATTTAAAGACATAAAGATTAGGGTGGGTCGATTTGGGACCCTAAAAATCGTATAGGGGGAACGTAATCTTTAAAGGATTCTAAGCCATATTCTAAACGCGAATGAAAAATACTGTTTTTTTGAGAAAAATATCATAGTAGTCAGCACATTTATAGTACTGAATATCAATTTCAAATTTTTATTTTAAATTTAATAATACATCTGAGCTGACTACTATGATATTTTCCTCAAAAAAAGCTGTATTTTTCATTCGCGTTTGGGGGGGGGGTCAAACATCATTTTAGACCATAAGTATGTTCGACAATATGGCTTAGAATCCTTTAAAGATTACGTTCCCCCTATACGATTCATCACTTTTTTCGGCCCCATACAAATCGACCCGCCCTATTAAAGATATTTGTGTTCATAAAGTAAAATACTGGGTTATTAAATTCCTACCAGCATCCCAAATTTTATTAAAATTTTTAAAAATCCTCTTTAAAAGCATCATTTTTTTTTACCGTGCACCCTTACTTACATCACCCATAACGAGAAACTTGGGAAAAACAGAGCTCGCTCGCTCATTAGCCAGCATTCTACAGACTCTGCGCTTTCTTTTTCGCACACATCTTTATCTCGGCGAAAAAGGAAATAAAGCGAAATACCTCAAAAGCGAGCGCGGGAAGGAAAAGGTTATTAAACGGTCGCCAATCTCCGTTTCGAGCCCCGCAATCAACGAACGACCTTGAGGGTCATAAGGCGCTGATGTTGGCTTATATTCGTATTTTTCTCCGTGGGTCCGTTAGTAGACTCTAAAATGGTATTAGGTTTTCGGACTGACGCATTCTCTTCATTTTTTGTTTTTGGTACATAGTACGTACAGTTGGTTTTTTTTTATTTTTCTTTCGGTCACCGATTTGCTTTTCAAAAACCTGTTTCTTTCGCCTGCTCTAATGATGGCTGCCGCTGCTGTTTAGTGTCATACCATATGCTACCTGCTAATGGATTTCGGAGAAGCGAACTCAAAGTGAAGCCACAAAGCACCAAAAACAAAATTGTTATTTAGATAAATATTTTGTTAAAGTTTTAGTAAAATAAATGTGTCGTGCCTGCTGGAGATCTTCGCCCATTTGACTGAGGATGGAGGATTTCGATTAGCATATGGGTTTATGAAGTTGCGGGCCTATTATTGTTTTGGTGTGACATTCACTTTGGAGTTGTGAGGCATACATTAAAGTACTCTTTGAAGTGGCATTCCCCAGTAGAGAACTCTCTAAAATAACAAGTGAGCATCGAAGTTTAAGATCCCAGCAAAATATTTTTTTATTTACTTTAATGAGTTGTGGGATTTTTTGGTTTTCCATTTGGAAATCGATGCTATCTATGACATATTAATATGTCATTTAAAAGTATTTATAATTAATAATAGCTGCAATAGGGATCTTAAAATTTTTGCGCGTTCGATAAAATTAAATTATTTTGAAGGTAAAATGTTAGGGTGACTTGGCCACTAAATTTCACATGAAAAAGTAGTTTAATTGGATTATCGGCTTAAGGGATAGAACAGTCCTACATTTTCTGGACGACACCGAAATGTACATGTATATATCAGATAAATGAAACTTTTCAAAAACCATGTGACATTCTCCCAACCATAAGCTTTCAATAAAAATTTCCAATCGGGAGACTCTCCCAGCAATCACATCACATTTCGCAGAAGACAATCCGTTTAATTAAATTGAAATCAACAGCAATTTAGTTGCTGAAAGAGCAGACAGCCATAGAGCTTCCAAAAAAGGAAAAAAAAAACTGATTAACACATCGTGTACATATAGCATAAAGTATAAAAAAGTGGCTTTACACGCATATTGAAGTTAACGATTTTCGACTGCATCGTATGTGTGTATTTATCTACGGGTATATAGCGACTTTTGGCTACGAGTCGGGCTCGCCTGCTACCGTTTAATGACGACAGCAACGAGTTTTGGCTTTTATTCGTTTCTTTATGCCTGTGCTTTGACGCGATTTATCTTATCAATTACAACTGATTAGAGCTGGAACGACGACGAGCGACGGGTAGGCTCATCATGAGAGACACCAGCCCAGCCATATAAGCATGTAACCCAGCCCATCCGATTCCCCCTTTATCAGTGGGGTCTGAACTAGTTCATGGACAATTTGTAGTCTGGGCTGATCTGTGTTCCCTATAATATGACATGAATCAAATGAGATTAGCTGGCTTCCATAAAACCTAACGATAATGACGTCTCAATTCGATTCTCCCCTCTGTTTTCCAGGGATCAATAGAGGAATGGCTGCAGCTGTTGCGTCTGGAGGAGTATATTCAGCCGTTACTGGAGCAGAACTACAAGACGGTGCGCGACGTAACCCAAGTGACTTGGGAGGATCTCGAGGACATTGGCATTGTCAAGTTGGGCCACCAGAAGAAAATACTGCTGGCCATCAAGCGGGTGAAGGACATCATTAGCGGAAAGTGGAATCCAGGCGGCGCCAATGCCTACCAACAGCAGGTGAGAAAGGGGATGTTTTTGAAAAGTTGAAAATGTTGTTTTATACATACTACAAAGCCAGCGGTCTAAGGATATAATAAATATCTGTACTGTGTATTGTATTAGTTAAAAAGTTTACTTTTTATTTTGGAACCAAAGTTTCGATTTAAATAATCTTTTATTTTAATGTTTTAATATACTTTTAATACCCATAAAAATTTTCTGTTAACTTGTTTATCCTATAAAATTACTTTACCCTATTTTATGTAACACAATACTTTGATAATTATTTTAAATTATTTTCATTATAATTTTCCACTAATTTGTTTTGGTTTCTGTTTTCCTCTGGTTTTGTGTTGTTTCCCTCAACTGAATGGTGACCAATCAGGAGTATCCTCGGAAGCCCTGGCAATTCATTGTGCCCATACCCAGTACGCCATCCTATGTGCCAACCACTCGCGTCTCATGGGACGACACGAAAATCTACGCCACCAGCAGCGTGCTGAATGCCACTGCCCCACCCGGGAGCAGCTGCCTCAACAGCAGCCTCACCAATGGAGACGCCTACTACTGCACCGGCAGCAACCACGAGTGTTGCTCGGGCAACGATGTGGTGCTCATTAAGGTGGGCACTCGGTCCTCAAAAGTTAAAAGGCTCAACAGCCCGTTGGCCTTGATCTTTTGAGTACCTTTTGACATCCTAGCTACGGTCGAACTTCTGCGTTTAAAGAAAAATCTAGAAGCAAACTTTAAATACCTATGGTTAATTATAATTTTTTTAATTTTGTAAATCCAAATTATTCTTTATATTCTTGTTTAATGGAATCATGAAATCATATATTTTGTATGCTAATTATTTGTTCAATATTTTAAAAACACAGAATCTAATTTAAATTTAATACAATTTATTTCAATTTAATTTTGTACATTTATTGAAACAATTTTAAGGGAGTTTCATTTTCGTTCTTGTATTTAGAGCATTTTCCTCTAAAATAAGCAGAAAATACATCTCATTAATTTGAAAAAGTTGCACTTTATAACGAGCCTCTCATCTTTTTTTGCAGGTGCGTCAGCCGCGTGGCAAGAGCCTGGAATCGTTGGAGGACATCCACGACAACAGCACGCGCAGCCATCTGACCTTCAGCCATTACACGACCACGGACTACGGCCACTTTGGGCCGCCCACAACGGCGGCTGCTGCGGCGGCGATGGCCGCGGCTGCAACACTCCAGCAACAGCAGCATCACCACCAGCAGCTGCTCCACCAGCAACAGCAGCAAGCTGCTGCCGCCCGTCTTCTGGGCAGCAATCCGCCGGGCATTGGATGGCGGCGGTCCTACGACGATGGCGACATCACACCCACCAACGATGCCACAAGGGAGCTGCTCTACGAGCAGGAGGGCGGCGGCACGCTTCCACGCCAGCAGCGAGGCATCCTGCAGCGAGCGGTGCTAAACACGATGCCGCCGCTGGAGCACCACCACTACATGAATGCTGCAGCGGCGGCGGAGTACGGAGCGGCCAGCGGAGTGGAGGGAGGAGCGGTGAGTTGGGGTCTAGGAATATTAGATCATTTGTCTGCAGTTGGCACAATTCATTATAAAGCGAAAAATGTAGAATTTCCTTGATACAAAATGTCTATTTGTATTTATGGTTTGGTCACCATGTTGCGTTATTTATTCATTGTAAATTGATAAAAAGTTATTGTAAACATTCTTTAAATTTGCGAATTTATTCCCTTTTTTTCCTTTTTAACTTTATTTATGACTAACATTTTGTACGCAGAGTAAAGAAATAAAGAATCAAATCAAGCGTATTAGGGAACTAAACATTTTATGAAATTTTGCGAGAAAAAAGTGCCAATCGAGGTCATAAAATTGCAATGCCTTTCAACTAATGGTTTCCTTTTATTTCAGAATTATTTGAGCGGCAGTCCATTGACGGGAAAAAAGATAGCTCCCGAGCCACCTAGACGCCACTGCAGCATACGCAACTCCCGCACGCTGAGCGGAGAGGGAGTGCCGTCGGGGTCGGTTGCGCAGGCGCATCAACAGGCAGCCCAACAGCAGCAACAGGCGCAGCATATGTTCTACGGCCACACGGCGCAGCACTGGCAGCAGCAGCAGGCGGGAGCGGGTAGTGGTCAGCAGCCCATCTACGCTAACTATGCCACCATTCAGCAGACGACGGCGGAGATACACTGCGAGAAATATCACGACAATAAGTCGACTTCCAGCATCGATTCCATTGATACGATACCGTTTGCCAACGAGAACACAGGGACGATCAAGCAGCGGCTGCTCAACCGTCAGGAACTGCAGGGCGGTGGAGCCGGCGGCAACAATGCTCCTGGCGGCGGCCATCCCGCCCACCTGCACTCATCCAGCTCGAGCTCCAGCTCCTCCTCCACGAACACCATTGCAAACATAGCGCACTCTTTCCATTCGCTGAAATCTTCCAGTTCGCTGCACGATGCCACCCTGGCGCGGAGCGAAAGCATGGGCAGCACGGCCAGCGGTGGAAGTGCCTTGCACCTGCGGTCACCTACTTTGGATATGTCTAATCCTGGAGGATCAGCGGTGGAGCCAATAAGTTCGCCGGAGTCAACTGTTCCAGCTGTGGCCATAAACACAGGAGTTCCACCAAAAGTTTCGGTGAACGTTCTTAACGACATTGGCAATATGCTGGCCAATCTCACGGACGAATTGGACGCTATGCTGGAGGAAGAGAAGCGAGTGGGCCTCAATATAGACAGTGAATAAATCTCCAATCAAACAACAAATCGTAGTGTAGCTGAATTTTCCGGTAGAACGTGTGGTGTATCTTGTAATGTTTTGTGTACTTTAACTTAGTTAAGTTCAACTTGTTTTTGTATTTTTTATTCGAAATGCATAGGAGGAAGCATTCGTGTTTAGTTGTATTCTTTATCGTTTCGATTTACACATTGTGTAGTAAAAAGTAAACTAAAACTGAAAAGCTTTCGACGAACCATGTATACTTTTGTACTTTTCCTAAAACTCTCTCGTCCCATTCCCAAAAAAAAGGTGTTAACGATACAAAATGAAAATATCCAAGTAAACGAAGAATGGTAAAGGAAGCGCAACATGCATATATGCAAAACTTGCATAGTTATTATATAGCATAAAATATATATAATTCTATAAATAAATAAATATTTAAACGAAATCATTAATATGGACAAGTATTTAGTGGTTTGATACTATACGACAGGAAAGCAAGAAACGAACCATACGGCACACTCTTAAACACACACAATACAGATCAAGACAAGAACTACTATTTAGAGATCCCCTTCAGACAATTTAAAATTGCATTTATAAATATTAGTTCTTTATTTCTTTTTAAAGTTTTTTTGAATCAGCCTGCACAGACATTTTTCTGTTTATTACGATTACAACTGAAATCAAACTATGTGAAATGAATGTATAATTAAGTGTTATTCCATACAAAGTAAAAAGATGAATTATATAAAATATAAATCTTATTAGCGTTACATTAAGAAAGCAAGATTAGAAAGTGGAGAGCAAATCCATCTTTATAAATTATGTTTAATCGGGCATTGATGCTGAATAACGTTTAGAATTCCTTGGTATACACTTCAATTGCCTTCTTCTTTATAATTTACGTAAATAAAAATCATTTAGTAAAAATTTTGATTTTGAGAGCATTTTTCGTTTCCTGTTAATTGCGCTCAGTTAAAAATTTGTTTGGTGCGCATATCATTAGAGGAAATTTGAGTATTCGATTTATAAAGGAAACGTAAAATAAATAAATACAAATAAAATCACAAACATGTAAAGCACATAAAGGGCAAAACAAAAATTATGAAAACCAATAACAAATAAAGTAAACTTTCATAGTAAAATGTTGCGAATTTTAAAAATATTTTCCTGTTGACCATAGACGGGACATAAACAAGTATGTTTGTTATATAGAATGGCACGGTCACTCATTATTAATTAAAGCACGATTTCCATGTGCTATAATTAATTTCAAAACAGAAGTAGTCGTAAAATAGTGTGTTCCTACATCTGCCATAAAAAAGATTTGTTATGAAAGTGTAAGCCATTGACAATCTCAGTTCTTTTCATTATGGTCGTATGAAATTTTCTTAAAAATTTTTAAAAATATTTTAAGAGTAGTGTGGTGCCGTTCTAAAAAAGAAAGTGAGTCGATCTAGCCGTGTCCGTCTGTATGAACGCTAAGATCTCGGGAACTACAAAAGCTAGATTACCCACACATTTTCTTGGGCTTCCTACGCAGCGTAATTTTGATTCAGCCGAGGGCCACGCTTCCTCTAACGCCCACAATCGCGGTACACGGTTTCAAAAGGTCTCTGGCGCCCACATTTTTAAAGATTTCAGAAAAGAAAAAATTTAGTTTTATTGTGTTTATCAATACCTAATGTAAATGTAGAAATGTAGAAATTTTTCGAATGGGACTATTCGTTAAAAAGCAGGGTTTCAAAAACTGTGAGCTGAGAAGCAAAAGCACCTATATTTATGCTTTGCTGTTACTGTGAGATCAACAGACTTTTTACAGGAAAGCAAAGCAAAAGCAAAAATATGAAATGTCAAAATAGTTTAACATTTGCTTTGCTTTGGCTTTTGGAAGCACAGCAACATTAACAGTACTACAGCCTTCCGAAAGCAAAAAGCATTGCTTTCGTGTTGCTGTCAGCACTCTGAAAGCAACTTTAACATTCAAAAATATCTCCTGATCGAAATGGCTGCCAGAAATAAAAAATTTTCTTTTGTCTGGAAATACTTTGTAAATACAAGTGACCCTGACAAAGCCATTTGCACATTGTGCAAAGTTTTGATGAAGAATGACCGGACTTACAATTTAAAAAGCCACCTATGGAAAGTCCACGGAATCGAAGATGGAGGGGTAAAAAAGCCGTATTCCACAAAAACCCAGTCGATACAGGTAAAATTGAATAAAAATCAATTAATTCGGTCGTATATCGGATTAGTAACGGAGGACAATATTCCATTTAATGTATTAAATTCAAGTAATTTAAGAAATATTATTGATCCCATCTGCTGTGGATTTCAAGAAAAAACAGGCAAACGCTTTGTGCTTAACGCAAGTAATGTTCGAGCGGCGGTATGCAAAGTGGCTGATAATATAAGAAATGATATGAAATTGGAGTTATCCCAACGGCTCCTATCCCTCAAAATTGATAGCGGAACAAGGCTCTGCCGTAACATATTTGGTATCAGTGCTCAATTCATTAAAGATGACCAAGTTAAATCCATTATTTTGGGGATGGTTGAGCTGAAAGGAGTTGGGTCTAGTAACTCCAAAAATTTTGCTTTGGAAATAGTACAAACATTAGAAAAATATGACATTAAATTATCCCGGATTTTAACAATTACTTCAGATAACGGTGCGAACATGATTAAGGCAACTAAAATTTTATCAACAGTATGTTCCAATGAAGAAAGCCATGAAGAAGAATTAAATGACGATTATTTAAACAATATTACCAATTTCGAAAGCGAGCCCAACATAACGGTTGGAAATATCCAGATTTGCCGGTGCGCTGCACATACTGCTCAGCTATGTGCCTTGGACGTTACCAAGGATGCGGAAATTAAGCGGTTTTTACTAAGCTGCCGAAATCTAACTAAATTTATTAGAAAAGCATCAAATGGATTCAGGGACGCTTTTGAATTAAGGAAAGCTAAGGTTCCTCAACTGGACTGTTCCACTAGATGGGGATCAACTTATAATATGATCAAATACGTACTGGATGCAAAAGATGCCTTAATTGCAATAGAGTCTGTAAAAAACAAAAGCTCGGATGAAAACTTCGACATCAATGACAATCTTTGGGAATTCATGGAGGCCTATTGCGAAGTTTTCGCACCTCTTCAAGAAACCATAATAAAGTTTCAGTCAGAGAGCCTACATTATGGGAATTTTTATGCCCAGTGGCTTAAATGTAAAATGGTTGTCGGAGCAATTGTCAGTAGAAATTCTACAAAAATTGTTGTACAGAAAATTGGAACTGCTTTGTTGGAAAGTATTGAAAAACGATCAAAAAATCTGCTAAACAATGAGGGCCTAAATGCGTGCCTATTTTTGGATCCAAGATTTCACCACATCATTACTGGGCAAAAAAGAGATGATGCAGTAGCTTACCTTGTGAATCTTTGGAAAAAGTTACAAATAGAGTCTCCTATTCACCTACCGGTTGGACCTGCTAGCAGTTCTTCTGAAACAAATGCGTCCATTTCAGATGAAGCAGAGGAAATGTTAGATGCATTCCTGACAAACCAAATCAAGTGCATTGAAAATTTCAATAATACAGATGTTAACACGAAAATTCAAAATCTTCACCTTCCCTTTATAAGGAGTAATAATAATATTTTGAAATTTTGGTCTGAGCGTAAACATTCCGAACCAGAGCTTTATTTTCTAAGCAATATTTGTTTCGCGATACCACCAACGCAGGTAACGAAAAATTTTATTATTTAATTTAAAGTACCAATATTAAATACTTTTTTTCAGGTTACAATAGAAAGAGCTTTTTCGCAGTTAAAGCTCATATTAACCGAAAATCGCAACCGGCTATCTTCTGAAGCATTAGAAAACATATTAATTGTAAAATTGAATTCAGATTATTTGGACAAAGCAATTTGCGAACTCGATATGTTTAGCGACGAAATTTAAGTTAACACATAACAAAATAAACAAAACACAAAATGTACACTTGAAAAATTTTCATTTACATTTATGTATATTATGCAGGGAACGAAAATAACTGTTATTGTAAATTTTTCATACAAAAAAATCACGCACTTAGAAGGGTCCTAAAAATTTTTTAAATACACCACAATTTTTATTAGCCATTGTAGTTTACAAATCCGTAATGATTTTTATTTTTTGATTTTTATAATAAAACTCAAAAAATAACTGTTATTTTTTGATTTTTATGAATAACAGTTAATCCCTTGACATTTTTGAAAAAATGAAATAATTTAAAAAAAACATAATACCCGTGCTTTTTATAACTTACTAAAAATTTGTTAAAAAAGGCAACCGCGCATATTTTATACCTATATTTTTTTTAATTTTTGTTTACCCACAAAATCGCCATAAATCAAGTTTGAGTTTTATTTTGATCACGACGAATAACTGTTATTTGTCAACTTTTATTATAAAACTCAAAAAATAACAGTTATTCTTTGAGTTTTACTTTACAAATCAGAAAATAACTGTTAAAGTGTGATTTTTAAAATAAAACTTATAACAGTTACGTTCCCTGATATTATGTACATTTTCAGTTTTGTTTATTTTGCTTTCAAACAGGGACCGAAAATAATCATTATTTTTATTCCCTTAAACAAAAAATCGGCCACTTATAATAGCAATGTCCAATTCTTAGCGGAAGGAAAAATATACATTAAAACTTTTGGCCTGATAGAGCTAAAAAAGTCGCACACATCCCAAAACTTGTGCACACAAATTAAGTCTAACGGTCGTAACATGATCAAGGCTCCAGCCAAGGATGAGGATGATCACGACGAGGAAGATGTTGCTGACGATTTTGAAGATGAAGGGCTGTTAATGAATATCCATATATTCATGCCATTCAGTCAGTTCACTTCAACTCGCCGTAAAGGACTTTTTTCAACGCCTCGAATCGGATGAGTTTATTTCCCTTTTTGTATCAGCTGGCCAAGGTCGTCCATTCAGTTCCCGCTACGCAAGTGAGCGTGGAAAGATCTTTTTCGGCCCTCAAAATGGTACTGACCGATCAAAGGTGTAACCTTGCTAATGAGGCTTTATCGAAATTATTATTCGTAAAATTAAATAACAAATAAATATGTTTGGAGGTTCTTTAAATAAATATGTTTATGGAGGTAGCTTTGATAATTCTTTAAATCAGATTGGCGAAAAGTCTTACAGGACGGCCGCGAGGCTGTGATGAGTTTTATTTTGATTGGAATAAAATAAAAATCATAGGATAAGCCATTTTTTAAAAGTGCCCTGCAGGAAACGGAATCAGTTTTGGGCTATTAAAATACTAGTTGGGTCAAGAAGGTTAACTAGTTCAAGTTATGTCCATTTCCTTGTAACGAAGTGGTCCATTTTTCATATGCTTGTCGTCGGAAACAACTAGTCCATTTGCTACTAGTTTTGCACTAGTTACTGTTAACCAATTTACGGTTACAGCTGTTAAACTACACTGAAAAAAATATTTTCACGAAAAAACTAAAAATTAATCTCGAAACCAACAAGTGATTGAATTTCACTAGTACTTGACGATGCCAAACTTGATGCTCTCCTAATTTAGTACACAGAGAAAAAAAAATACCAAAAATGGTCATCATTCGGGTATTTTTTCATATCAATTTTGGTCCCATATGTGGTCATACCAAAAGTATATTTTCGAACATACCAAATTGGTATTTTCGAACATATGAATGTGGTATTTTTCATAATAGATTGTTATGCGCACATATCAAATTTTGCTACAAAATTTTGTATTGTATTTTCTCTAACTCAGAAAAGCATTCTGCCACGAAAAAAAAAATGTGGGCATGGCTCAGAGGCCAAGGTGCTAGGTCCTGATATTATTTTGTGCTCGGGGGAACGGGGTTCAAATCCCGCTCACAACACAACACAACTTTTTTTTTTTATTAGTAATCTTATCATATTAACTTTTTACCACAATTTTGTTCTTAATATTGTTAAGGAAATGTTAATTATGCGCCTTAAAAACTTTTTACTTTCTCTGCCTTAGCCGGTTTTGAACCGGGGTCCTCTCGCATCAGAGTCGGATGCGTTACCTATTAGGCCATCGCGACAAGTTACACGCGAGTATATTAGCTAAACTTGAATGTAAAATTATCTCGTTTAAGCATGCTCAACTTGTAAGTGTGACCACAGCATATAAAGTGTTATAATACCATTGTATACCAGAAATACAACAAAAATACAACTTTACAGCCATACTATTTTTTCGAAGACTTTTCGATGCCCCATTTGATATGAAAAACATATCAATCTTTGAAGTATTCATATTAATATGTTACGGATTCATATCAACATGGGTAATTGTTATGATTTCGTATCATATTGGTATGAATTCGTATTACATTTATATGGAAAAATTGATATGTACAAATTGAGGAGACAATATCAATCTGGTATTGTTCCGTTTTTTTCTCTGTGTATCCAATCAATAGTCGCGGTCCTTAGAGAATTTCTGATAATTATTATGTAATCAAATACAGTAAATGATAATTAAATGGAATTAAAACAAACTTACTTTTTTTGAGGCAAGTCGCCCTCTCGAGGACTTGAACCCGGGACCTTTGGATTTGTAGACACACTAACTGATTGAGCCACACACGCATCACATATTGTAATGCCCTAACAAGGTTTATGAATTTTAGTGTGACATAATTCATAAACAGTGATTTTTCACATATATATTGCCTCGGACAGATTAAACAAAGTTTAAAATAAAACTAAAGCATCACCTAGCAAACAAAAAAACAAAAAAAAATGTACAGAGACTGGGGATTGAACCGAGGACCTCGAGTGTTTGATTTGTTTAGTGCTAAATTTCCCAAGACATTTACACTCTAGGCTATATTTTTGGATCATATGTGTTTTATTTGCAACTAGTTAAATTCCAGTTGCCTTTTAACATGTATTTGTTCTACCAGTTAAATATTTGTAAGGTTTTTTTTGGTCAGAAAGGTACTAGTCCGAGACAAGTTTCTTTTTTACTAGTTTTGTATTAATCATTTTTTCGACTAGCACAAATTTTCTAGACCCTGTGTAGTCTAAATGCATTCAGACAAATTCCGGTTGCTTTATTTTAGTTGTATTACTAGTTGTTTTTCAGACTAGTTCGCATTTTTCCTGCAGGGTGGTTAAAATAATTTGTTAAGAATCGTGGGGGTAGTTTTAATAACGTCTTAAACGGATGTGAAATCAGATTGGAGAAAAGTCTTACAGGACGGCCGCGAGGATCTGATGAGTTTTATTTTGAGCAAAAAAAAATAAAAATCATCAGTAATCATTATTTTTGAGTCTTATTTTTGTTGATCAAAAATAATTAATATGCTCTAAGAAAAATATAAAAATTGAATTTTAATCATTACAAAGTAATTTTTATTATTTAACTTATAATGATTACGGTCCCTGCTTTCAAATGTAAATTGCTGCTTTCAAATGTAAACTGCTGCTTTCCAATGTAAAATGCTGCTATAACATTGCTTCCGACGAAATTTTAACAGTCGACTGTGGCTGTCGTTGATTTTGCTTCGGCTTTGCTTCCGACTTCCAAAAACTTTCATAGCAGTAGCACAGTAAAAGCAAAACATACGAAGCATTCACAGCATTTTCAAACCCTGGTTAAAAAGTTATGGGCGATCAAAGTTTTAAATCTCCATCTTCCTCGCACTCCCTTTAGCTGAGTATCAGGTATCTGATAGTCGGGGCACCCGACTATAGCATTCTCTCTTTTTTTTAGTTTAACATACTGACGAAAGGTGGTCCCTTAAACTTCTGGAGTAACGGCAATTTCTGTGTCACCTACTTTTATACATTTATAATTTTTGTTGCAGATCAATCAATTGGCTTAGCTTATGCTCGATAAGATCTAGACGACTTTCGTTAATTTCTTCCTGTTCTCGCCTCTGCATAGCTCTCTTATTTTTCTCTATTATAGTCAGAGCCTTATTGGCGGTCTGATCGTAGAAGCTTCCGGTGCAGAGCCAGTAGGTCGCTACCCCACTTATTGATAAATTTGCGGTCCCTTTTTGAGAAGGATTCATATTGGCTATGCGCAACTCGTTATCCTGGTTTGGCAGTATTGAAACCTGCTGTAGGCTCATATAATTGGGGTACATTTTTAGCAACCGCTGGCAGATTATCCGTAAGCCATGATTGAAGGGACCAGGACATCCGCGATTAATTTGCGCCAGTTCGTACCGATTCAGCAGGTTGCAGCGACAGATGTCACCATTTAGCTCCGCTCGGTCCATGATATCCTAGTCGATATGAGAAAGGTCGTGAACTTTGAATGGCGAAAATATACACTCAGAAAAAAAATCGACCTGAATTTTAGAAAATCGCCATACTTTGAAGATCACCTTGAAATTCAGAAAAAATTTCTATTTTTCAGAAATATTTTTCTAAAAAATAAGAAAAATTTACCCTGATTAGATCAGCTCCTCTCGTTATTCACTTTTAGACACATTTTCTGTTTTTCAAAAATTTTGCTTTGAAACTCAGAAAAAATCGACTTACATCTTAGAAAATCGCCCCAATCGGTAGCCTAGGAGTCTACAGCGAACGAATTTTTTTTTTTTTTTGCGCTTATATTCGGAAGTGTGTGTTCAATCCCACGTCGAGTGGGAGTGAGATACATGAGTATACACCTTGAACCCATGAGAACAAAATGTGAAATTACTTTGTACAGGGCCTCACGTGATGCTTCCCTGGCGCAGCTAGTAGAGTGTTTGACTGCAAACTGTGAGGTAAGGGGTTCGATTCCCACGAGCGACCAAAATGTTTTTCTCAAGTAGTAAGTTATTTGATTTTTATATTCATCATTTGTTAGTAATATACAAATTTCAGTTATTATTTCTAAAAAATTCAGGGCGATTTTTCTTCTGAGTGTAGGGAACTTAACTCACCCGGGTATCATTTACGGCCAGACCGTTAAGTAGATTGACAAGCACAATCGTCATGAACATCACGAAAAGCAGGAAGATCAGATAGGTGTAGACACTAGTAAAGTTAATGTCCCCGACGTTAAGTTCTCCTGTCAACATTACAATCGTCTTGATCAGGGCCACGAAGGGGGTGCTAAAATTGAGTTTCAAATGGTTTTTCTCATTCGCAGGATCCACATTCTTCTCCGATTCACCAAATAGGATGTAAAAGCACAAGCCAAAAGTCAGCACGAAGATCGAGTAGAGGGTGAAGCTCTTTAGAAAATTGATCGAGACTTCTCGCAGCATGAGCATGTGCGTCGAAATGGTCAGGATTGGCATGGAGCCAACCAACAGACAAAACTCCGTAGAGGCTAGAAGGATGGTAAAAGCGGCTGCGTGTTTTCGGAGAAATCGAATTCAATGCATGTACAGATCGATAGTCCTATAAGAGCCCACTCCATTAGGTTTGTTTTGGACTTCAGGTACAAAACTGGAGCAATCATAAGCTGGATGGCCTCCCGAATAATTAGATAGCCGATTCCCAGCCAGGTGAAGGCTTTGAAAACTGTTCCAGTGCCGCTCCCGTGGAATTTGATGAGGGTGAGGACGATGATGCTGGCGCTGAACAACGAGTGCATCAGTAAATTAAGGTAAAAGATCAAGGAAACCCGGCACCACTTGAAGAAAAGGAAGCTCGAGATAACCGGGTGCTGCAGGAGGTGACACAACTCCTTTGACCTGGCAATGAAAGCGATGGGGGCCATTTCGTCGTAAAGCTGATCGGAAGGCGTTGAGTCCCATCTCACTTGACCTCTATAGGGTAACAGGTTTTTATAGTCGATAATGATCTCGAAATCCGGTGCACCCGAATGCTTCCCGATCGTGGTTATACAGGAATCAAAGTGCTCCTCGAGCAACTCGGGAGCCATGTCCTTGATGGGCAGCGTGCCCGGCCGGTCCTACACCCAATGTAGGCTCCATGTTTCAGGAGTTTTTGTATCGCCAACGTGTTGCGGCTTTGGACCGCATAGAAAAGCGGAACCTGACGATTTTTATCAGCCTGGTTAATGTCCAACCGATTACAGTTTAAGAGCAACTCGAAGCAGCGTTGATAGTTGACGTTATCAGAGGGCACATCATTTACAAAATCCATCACCGTGTTTATTAGCATACAGGCGGAGGTCAGCTGGAGTCTTGGTTCCCTTAACAAATGCTCCAGAGCCTGCCAGTTGCCCAAGCGAATGGTCCACTCGACGAGACCATTCTTGTCGATGTCAATAGCGTTAGTCAGAATGGTTTTAAAGGCTCTCTGCCTTCCGTACTCGATACTCCACTTTAGGAGGTTAAATTGCTCATTTTGGGTGATGAATTGGCTGTCTTTTTCGTCCTTTGTAGTTTGCAGGAACTTGGCAAACTGCTTCTCAAATAGACCCTCGTCTCCATCACGAAGAGTCCTTTTGAGGGTTAGGCCGTTGACGTTTAACAGCTTATCCGGCATTTCCAGTTCTGGAAACTGCTCTTCCAGTAGTCGACGTGCCCCTCCATTGCGGTATCTGTCGATATCTAGCTTTGGATGAGCGAGAAATAGCTCAACCAGCCCCTTCTTCTTCGCTCGTACTATGGGCTTCCTCAGCACGTTGTGCAGAGGAGTGCGTTCATAGATGTCGGGGATGTTCGGCGAGGCGCCATAGTCCAGCAGCATACGCATACAAGCCAATACCTCCGAGGAGTTTTCCTCCGTGAGAGCTTTGGCCAGAGAGCTAAGAGGTGTGAGTTGGCCGTACTTTCGGTCCACGTCGACCTTTTTGCCCGGCCGATCTTTCAGGAGCGCCGCCAGGTTCCCGGGATCCTTTGAATCGACGGCATAGCTGACTGGGGTCTTTAAAAGGTGAACGGGATCGGCCTTAGGAGAAGAAAGATTACTATCTTGGTTTCGTTCCGAGATCTGGGTACTTACATAGTTGATCTGGCATCCGTGATCGATGCAGGCCTCTATAAAGCATGAGGAGTATGGAGTGGAGAGTGCTTTCTGGTAAATGCTTGTATCGCGGTTTTCCCGCAGATCGGGCTTGGCACCAAAGTTCAGGGCGTTGACGAAATCCAGAAAGTTTCGATTGGCCCAAGCTGTACTAAGCTGGGCCTGCGGTTCGATGAAGGCGAAGTCCATAATGAACAATTTTATTGTCTGCAAAATCCAAGTCAAGTATTTAATTTTTTCGTTTATAAACGTGGGAGACGTCGCTGAGGAAATGCATATGTAGGGGAGAGTGGGGCAATTTCGTGACTGGGGCAATTATGTCACCTGCAATATCTTGGAATCCATAAGTCGTAAAAATGTATAATTTTTTTGTTTTAGTCCTTCAAGACGACATGACCAATGCATTTTTTTTGCACAGAAGGTCAAGATAATTAAGCTATAATATTAAATGTGTTTTAATAGTTCAAAAGCTACATTTAGTTCTCGACGAAATTTTTCTGTATGCCGCAATTGAAAATGGATAAGATACAGTTTTTATATAATACATAGTGCTATAATGTGCATTTCTGCGTTAGTGGTTTTTAACTTCGCGCCTAATTTCGATAGAAAAATAACACAGGCCGACAAAATGTGACATGGGTCGATGTCAAGGCCTGCCACCATTTTATTTCGATAAATGAGGCTTTTCTAAGCATAAGTTGCCACTACGCCTATAGTCCATCAGCTCTGGTATTTGCGGTATCTTTAATTTAAGAAAATCACAAAATTTTTTCGGCTTTTGGGATATATCTTCAAGAGTGGTCAACCAATTTTGGTAATCTTTTCGGAATTAAATAATTTCATGTCTGTTTTATACTGTCGTTTTGGAAAATTCAATCTTACTCAACCACAAGAGGAGGTGGGTGCATTCAAAATTTTAAAGTCACAGCAAAGTTTAAAAATCTTCATTTGTGAACAGCGTTTAAAAATTAAATAAAAATATTTTCTTCTACAATGCATTTTTGATCCAAAGACACCTTATGTCCTTACTGTTTAGGACACTCATCAGGTTTTTGTGAATTGTTTTGGAATTTTTAAAAGTGTTTTTCTTACTTCATTCACACTGACAATTCACAAACAGTGCCCAAACCTGTCACTATTTTACGTAACGCATAACTATTTTTGAGCACAAGTAACCCTTGCTTTAAAAATATTTATACATGGGCGTAAGTTAAAAGCTGGAGGGGGATTACACTTCAGGCATTTCAGCCCCCAAATAATAGTAGGCTACGCTCATGTGCTTATATTCAAAGCTAAACTACTTAGATCGTTTAGAAATAAGTTATTTAAAATTGTGACAGGTTTGGGCACTGTTTGTGAAGGAAGGAAGAAAACCAATTTTAAAAATTTCAAAACAATTCACAAAAACCTGATGAGTGTCCTAAAAATTAAGGACATATGGTGTCTTTGGATCAAAAATGCATTGTAGAAGAAAATATTTTTATTTAATTTTTAAACGCTGTTCACAAATGAAGATTTTTAAAATTTGCTGTGACTTTAAAATTTTGAATGCGCCCACCTCCTCTTGTGGTTGAGTTGGATTGAATTTTCCAAAACGACCGTATAAAACAGACATGTAACTATTTAATTCCGAAAAGATTACCAAAATTGGTTGACCACTCTTGAAGATAAATCCCAAAAGCCGAAAAAATTTTGTGATTTTCTTAAATTAAAGATACCGCAAATACCAGAGCTGATGGACTATAGGCGTAGTGGCAACTTATTCTTAGAAAAGCCTCATTTATCGAAATAAAATGGTGGCAGGCCTGGACATCGACCCATGTCACATTTTGTCGGCCTGTGTAATTATTTCTAAAAAAGTACTGTGTGGGGAAATTTCGCCACCCTATGCTTAGGGTAAATTCGCACCTATTTTAAATACATATTTTTTTATTTGACGAGCTGGCTAACGAACAGACTACCGGCAGCAGCAACAAATATAGGACGTCAACAAAAATGGTACGCTTGATCAGTGTAGCATATTTACAGGCTTTAAACTCCCTACATTTTTCAGGTGACGAAATTGCCCCAGTGGTGTGGCGATTTTACCCCCCTATGTGGCGAGATTGTCCCAGTATATTGGTTTTACTCTTTAATTTTTTATAAATCACCAAGGTAATTAAAAAAAAGGGGAATGTCACATTTTAAAGCTTGGTGGTAACCGCATTCAACAATAAAAATAGAAATATAATAACGTGTCTCAAGATGGACAAAAAATAGCTTTGAAAAAATGCTGACGAAATTGCCCCACTCTCCCCTATGTTTTTAAAAATAGCTGACTCCTTTGTCACTATTGCAGATGTTTGATTCTCAGTAACTGTTATTGTTATGCAGTCTAGTCAACATAGAAAACATACTATTTGTCACAGCCTCTTTCTGATTAGCAATGTCAATAACATGATTAATTATACATTTTACTCGCAGCGTGAAAGGGTATTTTGTACTCATTGGAAAGTATGTAATAGGTAGAAGGAAATGTTTGCGACCCTATGAAGCATATGTATTTATTTATTCGTGATCAGTATCAGTAGTACAATGTACTTATATGTATCTGTATTGGAATCTGTATTTATTTATTTTTTTGTGGAAAGTTTTGCTTGTTTGACTTATCGTTACCTGTCGAAACGACAAAAAAATTTTAAATCGGACTTTTATTTTACTGGCAGTAAAATGTAGAACTGTAAAGTAAATTACACTGTAAAGGTCGATGTTTTTTCACCTTTAATCGAATGTGTACTTATTTTTAAATTAATCATCTGAGTAACTAATACAGCCAAGTGCCTACTTCTTGTACTATTTTAAAAATCTTTACTGGACTTTATACATACACACAAACCACCACGACCGGAATTATTACTTTACTCGAGAATTTGAAGCAAAAGACTAACTGATCCGTAAAAGTAAGATTGAAATTGACGCGGCGCTAACAGAAATTTAAAACTGCCAGAGGGCAGAGTTTAACAGAGGTTCTGCCTGTTCGATATATGTATACTTATTTATACTCGAACCGTTGATTTGTTGCCATAAAAATATATATAATTGTATTGAAATCTTTCCTTGAATTAAAAAAAAAACATTTTTTAACTAATGCCGTAGCCTTACCAAAACATCTGACATTTTTTGGTGAATGTTACATTCTTCCCGTACATTTTCAAGTGGTTCTATATGTGGAAAAAAAAGCATTTGACAAAAAATTCTACTACATTTCGATATTCTCATATCTAACATTTGAGAGCTCCATTGCGGCCGAAAAGGGAACTAGCGAGCTCTGACAATTGCTTAGTGCTAAGAATAAAATATCCCGATATAAATATTTTGATATATTGTTGACATCCCTACCGCGGTCACACTAAATTCTGCTCCGCACTCTCTCTCTCCTCTCAATTTAACAGAAATGTTAGGATACAAGGACTGTTAGCCTCTGCCGCTGCTCTGCCAATGTAAGAAAACGTTGCACCTTAACATTTCTGTTAGAAAACAGCAGAAACTAACATTTTAAAGCGCCTTTGTGGCCGAAAAGGGAACCAGCGAGCGCTGGCAATGGCTCAGTGCTAAGAATAAAAAATCACGACATAAATATTTATTTTTACTTAAAAAACATATGGATATATTGCTCACATCCCTCCCACGGTCACACTAAATTCAACTTCTCTTCACCGCGGCTGGACGCGTCTTTAATTTTTAGGATAGTTTTTGTAAGCAAATAATTGAATATCTCAAGTGTAGGCAGAGGAGAAGCTGAAACGCCGTGCCCTGTAATTGTACTGTTTGTTTTGTTCACCTACCGTAATCGCCGCGCGTCCCCCTCTCTCTGTACTTCGCCTTCGACTTCATTGTGAAACGCAAAATAAAATAGTTTTTTTAATCTGACTGTCCTCGCATTACAAATTGCCAGTTAAAATAGCCAGCAAATCAATTTACATAATATTGGAAAAACACATAAAAATAACAAAACACACACGGGCTGGCAAATTGATAGGCGCAGGCTGTGTGAGTGTGTGTAAACAGCGAGATCAAATAGTGAAATGCAAAAGTGCTTTTCAATTGAAAAGCGGGCGGCAGAAAAGTGAAAATTAACGCGGTTTGCGACGTGTTTGCATTTGGAACGGAATCAGTGAAAACCAGTAAAATGTCGAGTGCAGAAGACGGCGAGCTGGACCCCCAAATTCAGGTGATTTTATTTGGCAATTTGCCTGCTTGTCCTTCCTAGTTTTCCCTCTCTCCGTCTCCCTCTTTCGTACCTGGCACAGAAATGAACGGTAATTTAGCGACAATAACAAATATCAGGCTGCTTTGCTTTTGTTTTTGGATTGTTTGCTACATAGTTCTCTCTATATTTCACTTGTTCTCTTTTACACTGCAGTTTTTGTTGGTACAGTAGTAACTTGAAAGGGTACTGAATTTTCACTAAAGATATGTTTGTTGTTATTGTATTATGTTTTTTAAAATTAATTTCTAAATTTTATAAGTACCCTTATAGGTACACTAAATTGAGTTTCAACTGTTTAGATAGAGAGCATTGTTTTTGGGGAATAGGAAACATTCCATTTCGTTACTCATTTATTGCGTGAACCTTTTTCTCGCTTTGTTGGTTTTCAAAACCGAAAACAAAAAAAAACAACACAGAAATTCAATTTGCACAGCGCTTAAGCAAATTGCAAGTTTCCTTTTCCGACGAAACTGTTCAATATGCATTGTGAAACACGAAACAATACAAAAGGCAGGAAAAGGGAGCACAAAGAGTGTCAAGAAATCCCACGCACTTCCAAGTAAATTTGGTTTTTTCCCCTCTTCGAATTTGAACTCGGTACCTAAATGAGATTGAGATTCAAGTGCAGCTTGGTTATTGCTCTTTATCGCTCGTTTCGCCGCTTCTTCTTTGCTCCTCTCTTGCTTTTTCGGGAGAGGTATGCATACAAATTTAATAAATGGAAATACCAAAGCGCACACGCAAGTCAAAGCAGCAACAAAAACAAGCGCCTTTTGTTTTTATTTTTATTTTGATTCGTATTTAATTTTTTTTATTGTGTAAGGCAGACAATACAAATGTCTCGTGAAGCGCAAGTCGCAGTTTGCATAAATCAAGATTTATATGCTGCTTATTCAACTACGCAAAATAATCGCACACTCGCTTAATGGCCTTAAATGGGCAGGAAAAAGTATGAATTTGTGAAAAAACAATTCCTATAGAAAACCTAGAAAAATGTATTCACATTTTACGATTAAATCATACTTCTTGGAATACAATAAGAGTTTAACCCTTAAAAACATAAACACATTACGTATTATAATTTAAAATTATTAATCTAAAAAATATTTGAGATTTAAAAACAACAACATTTATTCAACACATTTTTTGTATACAAAAAAACAGGATCTGTAAAGAATACATTAATAATAACAATATGAATATAGACGCGATCTTTAAAACTATCATTAAATCTCATAATATACAACAGCCACACTGGAAAAGTTTATCCATTGTGAATCCCCCCGGATTGATACAAGAAAATCCCGCTGTAGACCTATAGAATTATCTATTTTTAAATGCAAAACATAGTGGGAGACGTCACACGCGGCGCAAAGTCATTAACAACATTTTGATTTCGAGACCCACAAGACGGCATGTGACTAGATTAAAGCCGTCGATAATGTCCGAACGTATATGTATGGGAAAATGTATAGGAGGCACTCTTCATACGAGAGATAGAACGATCGTTTTCTATAAACAATCATTAGAGTGCCTCTATAAACAAAACTGTACCGAAACAGGTTTGGGAATTCTCAGAAAGGCACAAAAATACATGTTATATTACCAAAAACGCAAAATATTTCGCTTCGGCTATTTTCGCCTTCTTTCTCAATGTTTTTTATGCTCGACTTCCTCTTTAGACAAGCCGACTTTGTTGGTTTCCTTGCCTTCAATTTACCAATGATTTATCAATGAGTATTTTGTATTCTTTTTTTTTTTGCGCGTGCAAAAATTTGTTATCTTTTCAAGTTGATGACGACAAACAAAAGACGAAGAATAGATGTAGCGACGATGGCGCAAAGTCTATTTAACTTAAATCGTGTGTCTCCACAGATGTTTATACCCGTTACTCGTAGAGTAAAAGGGTATATTGTATTCGTGCAAAAGTATGTAACAGGTAGAAGGAAGCGTTTCCGACCCCATAAAGTATATATATTCTTGATCAGGATCACTAGCCGAGTCGATCTAGCCATGTCCGTCTGTCCGTCTGTCCGTCTGTCTGTCTGTCTGTCTGTCCGTCTGTCCGTATGAACGCTGGGATCTCGGAAACTATAGAAGCTAGAAGATTGGCATTTTGCATGCAGATTCTAGGAATTCCTACGCAGCGCAAGTTTGTTTCAAAATGGTGCCACGCCCCCTCTAACGCCCACCATCGCTTATATACGATTTTAAAAATTTTAATATTTTGGAAAAGTAAAAATGCAGTTTTATTGTGTTTATCAATACCTATCGAAATGTAGAAGAAATTTTTCAAATCGGACCATTCGTTAAAAAGTTATGCGTGATCAACGTTTTCTATCTCTATCTCCATCTCCCTCGCACTCCCTTTACCTGAGTAACGGGTATCTGATAGTCGGGGCATCCGACTATAACGTTCCCTCTTGTTTTTGTTTTCACTCAAGCTATTTGTTTATTTTAATTTTTTTGATACAATCCCACACGCGTCAGTAAGCTGGAAAATATAGTTAATTGCGTCCCAAACTTTCTAACCCCAAGCCAATGAATTATTAAAAGTCACTTATCGATTAGACGATAATTGCTTTAATAGAGAAACAAAGGGGGCTTTTTTATTGACAGAAATTAGTGGGAAATACTTTGCAGCAATTTAAAAATAATTTTTCGCCTTGCCCCATTTGATAATGATAATTAGATTAGCAAGGGAAACTTTAGGCGCAAGTCAAATTGATAAAAATTAATAATGACTAATGACATTTGGCTACCTGGGTCTCAGTTACGTAAGCAAGGTGAGAGTACGGGTGTCGCGAATTAGAGAAGTCAACCGAGGCGTCTATGAATCAGAAAATCGTGTCCGATAAGTGAGTCAACGTCTATAATATATCTATATCAAGGTGTACCCCTAAAGTGAACATCATAAGCATAAAGAATGCTTATCTTATATTACGAGTACGAACTTTTGCTTAAATGGCAAGATATATAATCCAAAGTTCATATAAAACCTCTGATAACGGCGGCTTTTATGGATTTCTTTAGGACTCAGCAAATTAAAGATTGGAAAATATGTAAAAAAATTGCTCATGTATCGTTTGTATTGATTTTCCATTTATTTTACAATTAATGCATAACGAATCGTTAATAACAATAATAAGCATAACCGAAAAAAGCAGCTTTCTCTGTAGAAAAAATAAAATAAAAGTTCATAAGTGGCAGCGGTGGGATTCGAACCCACGCCTCCGAGGAGACTGGTGCCTTAAACCAGCGCCTTAGACCGCTCGGCCACGCTACCCACAATTATTAGTTGTCAGAAGCGCTTCTCATCGAAAGTCCCATATTCCCATTTATTTATAGTGAGAAACAAAGGAAAACAATTGTAGGAAGTTTATTGAAAAGCATTCCAGTTTATGTGGGAAATGATGTGATATATAAAACAGGTGGGGCCTGCACTTGCATAAATAAACTGCTTCTTTCAGAAGGTTTGTTTTGTCAGTTAACTAAACGTTTTGTAACCTTTCGACGAGTGCAATCCCCCATGGGTTCCACAACCACCATCATCATCATTATCATTATAGTCAATGATGCATAACACGGTTGCTACTTTCGACGAGCGGTTACCGCACTCAATTTTCCATACATTTTTCAGACTTAATGAATTAAGTTTGGCTTGGCTTTGTTCGGTCGTCGGAATTGTTAATGACATTCAATGATTGAGACTAAGAGTGTAGTTGAACTTAGGCAGTCATTTCCTGCATTATCAAATCAGCAGAGATAGCATTTTTTAGAGGCAATCTTATCAGTCATGAACTTGTAGCTGCAATTGTACAAATAAACTTATCTACTATTTTCAAAAGCTTTGTAAAGTTCGTCTGAACCTAAATTGAGTTTAGTTGACCTTCGATCTGAATTGCTTGGTCATAAAGAGAAAGCTACGAATTTTACTTAGCATGGCAATTGAAAATAATTTGTTCGAAGTGGGTCAGACCCACGAATTCTACATAAACCTCACTTGAAACATTTTCAACGCAGTAGTTTGTGTGACTTATGTGCTCTCGTTTATTTTGTACCTAGTTGACATAACACCAAATTAAAAATAAAAACTTTATGCGGTCAATTGCAATCGTCAAGCTACGTTGACTTACATTTCGGGTCGCCAGACATTCACTCACGCATCGCCGTTGAGTTTTTCCTTTATATAACAATATTTTTGACCTACCAGCAAAGACTTTCTCAGCAGTGCCACTTTTGTTTTATTTTCTCTGTATGTTAAGATTTTTTTCCATACAATTGTCGCATTATTTTCGTCGATGACGTTCATTTCCGCCCGAGTTGAATGTCCTACGAGTTCCTGGGGCTTCCTTTTTTTTGTTGCGCAAGTCAAATCGATGTAAATTTTATGTAGGTTTCCATTACATTGCCTCCTTTGCCATTTTGCCAAAGTCTGCCCGGCTCAGAGGGGTGGTTCTTGGAGGACGGGGGAAAGCTGTCACCAGCAGATGTATGTAGGTCAGGTCAACCTAGTCGGCATCACGCCACCGGCACAAAGGGCAGCTGGCGTCATTGCGGAACTGGCGAAACATCGAGCGAAACCGAAGGGAGTACCGGTAACAGAGGATTGTACGTAGGGAGCAGAGCATGGATAAGCTAATAACCTAATCATAGGATATCTAATCATGAGATGGGGTGGTCTCTTTTAAGGGTGGAAAATTGTCATGTCAGGGAAGAATTTAAACTTTGTCATTTTACCATCCTGCAGGAATACTTTAATATAAAATATATGAATATTTTATTTCTTATAAATACTAATATTAGTATTTCTTTCAAAAATACCTGAATGTACATAAAACTAACACATTTAAATGAGATACACTAATCATTCCTTATAAATCACCTAGATACCTGAACCCCTGGCGAATCCAATTCAATTATATTATATCCACTACCTCAGTCTTATGTGTTACCAGGCAAACAGTCGTCATTCCCAATTTTACCCCTCCATACAGAATACGTGGGTGGCGCCCTCTTGTCTGACGAATTGTTTTGGATCCTAACGAGCCGCACTCACGTCATCTTCTTCTTGGTACTCCTCTTGTCAAGGGACGCTCCTGGCTATAACCTTTCGCATTTGATTGGCTTTATTCATAGACTGTGACTCAAGTTGAGCTTTAGCCGCCCTTTGGCAATGCAAAATAAACGCGACGCAAACCGTTCGCACATCGCGTGATTTGGTAACATTTAAGGCCAGTCCTCGTTCCATTTGGTTTTGACCCTGCTGGAAGCTTTAAATTTAACGTAAATAATCAATAATTGAAGACGAGTTCCACTGGTGAAATTATTTTTGCTATATTTTACATTTCTCAGCGAACAAAGGCGATTTTTGTTTAAATTTACCGAGAATATTTCGATTAAGTTCTTTGAAAATATTCACCATATGTTGTGAAGTTGAGAAAATATTTATTCAATTTGCGTCGTCATTTCAACTTTTAATTTATGCACAATATTTTTTTGTTTATTTGATGATAATCAAATATTTTTGCTGCCAACCACACACAGCTGCCTTGGCGGGTAAATATGTTAACCTTTTTTCCAGTATTTACAATTGAATCGCATTGCAACAAAATGTTTTTATGGTATTTATTCATTTGATTGTGCGTCATTGGCGAAGAAGGGCGTAAAGCAGAGGTAGAGTAGATGGAATATTCATATATGTAGCCTTGTTTAATATTATATTATATGATATCAGCAGCATTATTATACCAAAACATAACCATAAGTGGTTAAGTTTTGGTTTCCCAGCCCATTAAATTGCTTGTTGAAAAGTGAAGGGCGAACAAGTGAACTTTTCATTAGCCAATAGTTGGGCAAATGCAGCAAAATGCACGAACAAGTTCCTTGGGCTGCAGAATTCCTGGAAAGTTCAAGTGTTGAAATGTTCATCTGCGCCGGATGCCCAAACTGGTTTTGTTTGTTTACACGAAAAACCAGTTTTGGAGTTTTAGAGGTTCGCTCGCACTTGGCTTGGTCTTGGCTCTTAAATCAATCTCGATTACAGAGGCGAACCGAGCGGGCCCTTTCCAAAACCCCCGCCTTTATCTTTGGTTTATGCATGTCCGGGATGTGGAGAAATGTTCAACGGACACGATAAAAATCAAACTGGGACAGCCTTAATAAAAGCTGCCGTAAAAAAAGGGGCAGACAAAACGAAAAAAATTATAATTAAACCAGTTTTTCGACCACAATCTGCCGTGGTTCCCGAACTGAAATTCCAAAACAAAAAAAACCTAAAAAGCCCAAACAAAAAACTTTAACCGCATGCAGTTCACCGATCCATGAACATCAACACAAGTCCGTTCCCCATGTAAATGGTAGATCCACAAACAAGAAACCTGACATTTACAAAGGCAACATGGACTAAATTGTTTAAATATCTAAAATATGTACATAGGTGCCGTATTTAGATGCCCATAAATTTAAAATTGTACTTAAATATAAAAGTTATTAATGGAAGATAAATCAACAAAAGATAATCTCGACCAACTGCACTTTGCACCAAAATATTATATATCGCCTTTTGAGAAGTAAATTAAAAACCTCATTAAATTCAAAGCTCTTTGCTTAGTTAGCTTGATTTATGGCGCCGTAAATCCTTAATGTTTTTAATAAACAAACAAATTTAATAAGCTGATTTAGGGGCATTTTTAAATATGTCAGATATCAAATAAAATAAAAGATCCTTGTTTATCTGTTGATTATCGCTACGGCATAACTACTCCATATTTTAAAATGAAAAACATTTTGATTCGTTTAACATTTTTGTATTTTTGTTTAACCTTTCGTTTTACGTATGTACACGCCTTAGGAACTACTTAAATGATCGCTGGACTACGAATACATTTTCAGAGGAAAATAAAATGCATTGACAAAGAATACGAAACAGAATCTGTGAACGCTGAAAACTAAGGACAGGGCAGCCATATGTTGCGGATTAGACTTTGTTTGTTACTGGGCTGTTGTGACTCTCATGGCTTTTGCTACTGACAAATCCAGTCGATGGGGTCGAAGGAACAGGCATCTAGACAAACTCATAGCCAATGCCGAACTGGAAACCATTCAGAATCTTATCCGTGGTCTGACGCCGCACCGGCACACAATAGTTGAGTTCAATCCGGGCTCTTTCTGCTAGTTTAACGGCCAAACCGATTCCGAAGGCACTACGCATGTTTTCTACATAGAAATTATAAATAGTTAATTAATTTCAATTGATAGATGGGTTCAGCTATTACTAACCTGTGCTAAAATTATTGCTGTTGCCAATGTTATAGAAGAAATGCATTCTAAAGTGACTAGCCAAGTTTTTGAAGACTCCGGCGAAGGGAAGCGGAGCCCAGAGGTGAGCACCCGTGCACCAGAAAGTCTGAGCTCCAATGGGTGTGCCGTCGATCACGGGACCAGCTCCTCCGAACTTAAATCCTCTCAGGGTCAATGGACCACCGCAGTAGAACAGCGAGTTAATGGGCAGTTGGGTGGTGTTTTTGGTCTCCTTAACGACGCCAACGCGCCCGCAAAATTGTGCCACTAAACCGGCAAACAGCGGCACATTTACCTCGCCGTGGGCAGTGCTGCTAGTGTAGGCGATGTTGCCGCCCAATCCGCAGTATTCGTTAACTGATTTCAGGTAAATACCACGGGTGGGGAACACATTGTTATCCCGATTGTCGTAGAGCACGGAGTAGCGCAGCAACGAGGCCAATTTGGGTCCACAGTGGTCGCGAATGGCGAAGGGCACTGATTTGTTTAGCAAACCAACATCTCTGATGGAGTTTTCATACTGCAGCGAGTGGGTCAACTAAAAATTAAAGGGAAATATTTAATTAACAAGTTTTCTATAAATGATTCTTGAACTTACATCCACTCCCACCATGGTGTGTGCCGAGAAGTCCACCAAATAGCCAAGGTTGGTGGTTTGAAAGGAGCTGATGTCAAATCTATCCGTTTGCCTAAAAATGCTGAAAGACAATCTGTCGAAGGAGGAACATATTAGTAAAGCTATAAATTAAAGAAGTCACATCCTTACTCAGGTCGGTTCTCCCTGAAGCGTGTGTGAAAGAAGGGTTTCCAGAACTTCAGTTGCAGGTCATTTGCCCTGGTGCTGCTATAACTGCCCTGCAGTGAGATGCTTTCGCCACGGCCCAGAATATTGGGGATAGTGAGTTCTGTGCGCAGGGAGCCCTCATTCTGGCCAATCTCAGTGCCCGCCGATCCCATCATGCGCGACATTTCGTTGCCCTTAAAGGTCACCTCGTATCCCTGGGGAGATGCGTCTGCTCCACGACTAATGTCGATATGCACGCTTACATCCTTAAAGATGCCCAGTTCATGCAAATACGATTTGGTGGACATGGCCTCCAGCATCAGATCCTGAAAGTTGCTGGCCTTGAACAGACCATCCGCTGCCCGCATCACATAGTCGTTGTGGGTGCGCAGCAAACCGCTGACATTGACGCGATCCACGCGAGCCGAGATCTTGCTCAGGTCGTATTTGGAGTCCTTCGAAACGGCCCCATCGCGACCCGACTGAGGCATCTTGTTGATTTCGGTGGGCAGGCGTTAGGAAATACTGAAAGTAATGGGAAATCAATTTTTTAAAAAATATAATATACCTATTATTTAAAATTAATATCACTACAAGATACTAATTACAAAATATTTTTAATTTACAGATTGAGCTGGAGAATCTCAATAGTGCAACCGATGAGATTAATAAGCTAGAAATTGAGCTAGAGGCAAGTCCGAAACCTTTGTATTGATGGAGATTCGGTTAAAAAACTAATACTAATTTTTATGTTTTCCATAGGAGGCCAATTCTACCTTTCGCATCCTTTTAAATGAATCTACGCGCCGGCTTAAGCTGTCCTCTAAGAAGTTGGGCAACTGCATAGAGAAGGCTCGACCCTACTACGAGGCTTTAGACAAGGCACGCGAGGCACAAATCGAATGCCAGAAGGCGGCAGTTAAATTCCAGCGAGCTAATGGTTTGTATTATATAAAACTATATCCCTGGAAGTAATTGTAAATTAATCTCCTTCTCCCATAGAAATCCACGCCGCTGCCAAGGAAACGGTGGCACTGGCCGAGCAGAGGTTTATGTCCAACTCGCATGAATGGCAGTTCGACAATGCCTGGCAGGAGATGCTCAATCATGCCACCCAGAAGGTGATGGACGCCGAGACCCAGAAAGCCGACTGTCACGCAGAGCACCAGAGGCTCACCAAGCTCTTCAACACCGCCGAGCAAAAGCTGCAGCAGCTTGAGGATCGCTTCCGGCGGAGCATAAACAAGTCGAGGCCGTACTTCGAGGAGAAGCAGGTGTGCCAGGACCAGCTGCAGACGCAAAAGAATCGCATCCAGGAGCTGCAGCAGCAGGTGGCCGGTGCCAAGAGCACCTACTCGACGGCATTGCGTAATCTGGAGCGGATCAGCGAGGATATACACAGGCAGAGGGGTGATTTTCCCACTCCGCCAGGACCCCGCGAGCCGGGTGTTGGAGCAGAGTTGAACTCGCCGACTTCCAGTGCCTTGCCATCGCTGCCGGATTTCCAGATGGAGCTCGAGAAATGCGACTATCCCTCCATAGCAGGCAGTCAAATGTCTTTGGGTGTGAAAACTCCTTTAGCAGCTGCCGAAACTGAGGATGAGGAGGATGCCTGCGACTACGATGAGACGGGAGCGGGCGAACTCAGGGGCGTGGTGGACGAACGCGATTTGGAGGCCCTACGGCAGAAGGTCAAGATCCTAGCAGTGCGTCCCATTGAGGGTGGGGATGGCCAGCAGCAGAATGACGTGTGGGAGCATGAACTGAAGGACACGGTGGATAAACTGGATCACTTGATGATGCTCAAAGAAACTGCCAAAAGGCAGCAAACGAATCGCTTGAAGTCCACCGAACAGCGACCCGATTCTCTGGGCGCCGAGGCCCTCAAACGCCACTGCGATGTGGTCGAGGTGAAGGTCACCACCTGCGCCACCACCGCCAGCTTGCCAGTCACCCCCCAGCACCAGCTAAATCACCTTGCACCGCCAACGCCCATCAAGAAGCTGCAGCAGCAGCTGGCGCCCTTGCCCTCGGTGAATGTCTCCATGCGGGAGCTGCCCCTGTTGGCCAGGTTGTCCAACGAGCTCCTGGATCGCAGCAGTGCTGCCTTCGGAGGAGTGCGCAAGCAGCTGCGCAGGCGCTCCCTGGAATAGTGAGCATATTGGGGGCTTTCCCAGCCAGCCCCATATCAGATTTGTTTATAAATTGTAAAACGTTAAACGCCGCATTTAAATGTGCACCACTCTCAATAAGTCTACACCTACATGATAAATACACCATCTATTTTCGTATAAATGTTGATTACATTCTAATCTATTGTCTCCGTACTTGTTTCTCACTGTTAATACTTTAACTATGTAAATGTTTTGTGATTTGAGAGAGCAAAAGAAAAATGATTGATTGATATGCGAACAATAAGCAGCTTTAAGTTAATGTTTAAACCTTAAAATAATAAAAAACCAGGTAGACTCACTAATTTAAATTAAATGGGCACATGCACTAAATAGTTTAGCCTAAAAATACCACTAAAATTAAATAAACCAAGTGTCGAAATGTAACGAATTCAATTAGATAATTAAGTGCGAAACTCTCAAAGCAAAATGTAGTGGATTGAATAAAAACGGTCTAAATAATTGGTCGGTGCCCTAGAGTAAAATAAGGGAATAAAAGTATTTGCAACACGATAAATAATATTGAAACTTGAAATAATAATAAAAATGGAATTCTAATTGAAATGTAAAATTGTGTTTTTATTGTTTTGGGGTGTAATAGTGAAGGAAATTATTGAATAGGAGGGGAATAATATTCCAAGCGTTAAATAATTTTCTGGGGTTTGATAAGAACTTTGTTCTTAAAAAATCTATGACAACTTAAAAGATGGGAACGTTTTAGACTGGGAAACCGAATATTAAAGAGCGTTTGCCATGATGCAACTGCCGCCGAAATAGCGCAAGAGTTATTTAATCTACAAAACTATAATGCATGTGTCTAAAAATTTCGGAGTGATGTCATTTTTGCTGCATTCAAACCCAAAACAAAATTCTGTCTCCAAATTATATAAGCCCGTTATGGTCTCCGACCGCAATCAGCTGACCTACCTTTAAATTACCGCCCCTGCAGGTGGATAGGCACACGCGAATTTAGGATTTTGATTCACTAGTGTTTCGAGAACTACAAAATATATATAACCAAGCACGAGCACAAATATTCCAATTACTTTCGATTGAAACGCGTGCGGCACCGAAAATCAACAAGCTGCTTCTTCTTCTACCACAGTGTTGACAACTATTCGGTTTGAAAATAGCCAGATTGGTTGTACATAAATAAATAAATAAATGAACAATAAAACTATAAAGAAGACCATTCTATAAAATGCTTAATATAGAGTTTTCAATAAGTAGATTAAACAACTGTAATATCCTCTAAATTAAGATACTTTATTGTGTTTGGCATTTCCAGTAAAACCTCGCTCAACTCGCTAATAGGACAACACTGTTTATTCGATACATTATGGTGACGGCATGGTGGGATCTGGAACACTTTTTTAATTTTTTCGCTATATAAGCGATATGTTGAAAAAACGAAGGGATCAGCTTCCAAAATTAATGAATTTTGGGGCTCTTAATACTTATATTTATTTGTCATCTTTTAAAGCGGTCATTTAAGTCTGGACACATGCATTAATAAGCAGGGCGATAAATTTTAAAAGGTTTCCATTTCGTGACTAAATTGTAGTCTAATCTTTTAGGAATTTGTCATTTGCGTCGTCTTAAAGAATAAAGAATAATAAAATTAACTTATCAATAAATAAATTTGTTGTCCTCTTAAAGATATGATAACAAAAATTCATGTAAAATCTTTAGATTTATAACAATTATGGATAATGTCATTCTTAAGTTGCTAAAACCGTAATAAAAACTTTACAATTTTTAAATACCGACTACTTCATACGTTTTTAAAAATCAAGAGATAATTATAACACTTACTTATTTTATTGGCTTCTATAATTTTAAAACAAATCGCTAGGAAGCGATTTAAAATTCCACTGTTCCGCTTATAAATTACGCTAGTTTGACGCAATATGATGGTGCGCCAAGTCAAAGGGTCACACTGCTGGAAATGGGGAAATCCCAAATAAGGCGCACAGCAATTTAAAAACTGATAAAATTCTGTAATCAGTAACTTAGTAAAAACAAATAAAGAGATGGTCTAAACTCCATTAATATTAAATAAAGTTACATTTTCAATAGCTTGCCTCAAGAGGCACATTTAATTGTAAAACCATTACTTAAGCTATGAAATTACAACTATCAGCCCTACGGTATTTTGACTTTGGTGCATCTGATACCCTTGGACTGCAGCTTCCGCATAATGTCCAGGGTTTCTTGGTTTTTGGTTGGATTTAGTTCGCTCGAGGGAGTGTCATTTAAACGCGTACTTCCCCGTTTTACCTCCACGCCGCAGGCTCGCAGTTTGTTTAGGATTTTCTGTGTGCCATCCATCGCTGGCTTCTCCAAGGGAGGAGTTACTTTGGTTGTTGTGGCAGGAACAGATTCAGCTGTCTTGTGAGGAGCTTGTTTCGGGAATGTTCTGGGAGGAGCAGGTCCTTGGGATGTTCTGGGAGGAGTTTTGTGAGATGTCGCTTGAGGAGGCAACTGCGAGGTCCTATCAGCTGGTAAACGCAATTGATTTGGGACCGCTGAAGGGCCCTTTTCCTTTGCAGTTGACTCCTGCAAACGCTTCAGATCCTCCAGCACATTGGGCACCAGAATGGTGTCCTTTTTCGTCTTTGCTGTGGGCGGTTGGGGGGAGGGGAGGCTGGTACGTGACCTTCGCTGCTGCTGGGCGGTCAGAATAGGGCGGCGAGGAGCGGTATTGCTCCGCTGTCGTTTTGCGGGCACCACATCCGGTTCGGGATCCGGTTCCTCGGTCAGCTGAACCAAGTACTCCTTCACGATATTTTCCTTGGATTTGGTTTTGGGCAGCGTCTGTACAGGGGGCTTGGGATCGGTGTACCAGCGCGGATCCTCCAGCTCTGCCTCCCAGTCGATGTCGCTGCTGGCGCTCGAATTCTTCACCACCGCCTCAATGTCGTAGATGTGGAGCTGCAAAAAGTGGGTGGCTGTTATCATGATTCCTATGGAAGTTTCCGAGAAAGCCTTACCTCCTGCCTGCCGTTCACCAGCCTCGTTTCCCGCTTGGAGTCATCGTATGTGTGGGCGAGCGGTTCGGTTGGCGTTACTATATGCTTTAGTCCTGGACAGTCGGTTAAGTGGCTTTGGAAGGCCTGGAACGTCATAAAATGGCGCTCGCAGCTGCGGCAGAGGGTCAGAAGGCGTTTCTGCTCGTCGTACAACACGTCGCCCAGGCGAATCGTCTTCAGCGACTTCGTCTTACGCGTCCCATTCATTTCTTTTCGGCAAATTCGCGCCAAGCGGAGATAATGGTATAAAAAATTGCAAAACAAAATTTACACTCGGACAGTGTGGCCAGGTGGTGAGAGTACACGGATGCCGAATATTTTTCTGTGGCAAAAAAGTGCTCACAAAAATAGCAGGCTTCCACCACCGTTTTAAGACAACAAGCGCGCGTAATTTAAAAGTACTATTTTACTGAAGGTTAAAAAAAGAATAACCAATAACTTAAGATTGTTGCCATATAAATGTATTTCCCTGCAATGATTTAATATGACAAATAAATCGAAAAAACCGTTGACAAGGATTTATCAAAATTGTCAAATCAACGAAACTATCACTGTGGACGGCGGTACACGTAGTGACGATGCGCACCGGAAGAGTTGGTGACGATGACTACTATTGTATACCATATACTATGTACATAAAGCTGCAGAATAAAAAATAGCCCTTGAGATTAATCAACTTTTTTATATACCAATAATCGGAACAAATAATTTGCTAAGCTAAATGTAAAATTGCCGATCACCCATTTCAGATCGGATTGTGTCGCTTGGGAAATTTAGAGCTATCGGTGTAAGCCAGCTCAGTTCAGATGATAATTCGAAAGGTATTCGAAACTAAACGGACAAATGATTCTAAAAGTGCAACAAAAAAATTTGTGTTTGTTGATTCCAGTATCCTGCTGACTACATTTAATTTTTGTAGTTTGGGAAAACGTTGTGTTTTTTTTTATAATTTTTCTTGTTCTCTTAACTTGTATTTTGTTTTAAAAAAAATATATCACAACAATTAATTTAAGAAACTTTTATTCCCAGCTCTTTAATGGAAATAATTGAAAATTTTGTTTGTAATTTTTTTTTTTCCTTTTATTAATCTTATCTCTTGTTTCTTTTGTATTATCGAATGAGTGAATTGCACTTACTTGCCTTTTTAGGTATTGGCTTTTGTTGCCTTTGATTAACGCCCATGCAATTGAAATTAAATTGCTTGCAAATGATTCGCAGGCCACCTAAAAAAATGGGAGAATCAGAAATATCCCATCTTTTATGCAGCCAGGGCTGTGCCATTTGTAAACTTGGCTCTTTTTGCGACCGATGTGGAGCCATATGGACTGAACATTGTCTGATTTTGACTCCAACTCTGATGTCTGTCCAGTGGGTGGAAAAACCGGGGAGGGGAACCCCTTAATTTTTTGCCTGCTCCTCTACACTGGCATATTATTATTTTTTGTAATGTTCCGTATAACGAGCACGGTCCATGTGTCGAACCACGTGCAGCATAATCACCTGCCAGAACGGAGGTGCCAGTATCGCTGGCAGATTCTTGATTTTTTTCCAACCCTTCCCTGCCAACCCACTTTCCAGCTCTTTCTGTTATTCTTGGGACTTAAAAACTGAACTTTAAAGGGCCGCATCGCTTACACTCAGGAAATTGTATGGATCTGGGGGTCCAGGTCCAGCGGCAATTGGATGAAGTTGCCGATGCTGATGAGGCTGCTCCTGTAGTTGCTATTCCTGCATGCAATTAAGCCAGGGACGAGGCACAACTTGCCACTCTGTGTGTCCCAAAACTGCAAGCTGACCATGCAAATTACGTTGCCCACACTCATACTTGCACTTGGCCCGGTACACACGCATTCCTGTCGCCTCGTTTGGGGGCCAACGGGGGTTCCCCGGCGTTTGAGTGATGCACCGAGTCGAGGAAGCAGAGGCAGAGTCGGAGGAGCCATCTAGCTGGGCCACTAGAACTACTACTACTACTACTGCTGCCACTGCCAAAGCTAAGTTAAATGGACCTGCGGTGCACTCGAGCAGCCAGCACACAAACTACAGTCGATACTCTATAAAACAAATTTATTGAAACTATAAAAATAGCTTTAAAAATCTTAAATTTGCTTCTAAATTTATACAAACACCATTTAAAAATTTGTGGTCATTTTAAAAATCATATTTTTCATTGTCTACATAGCTACAGCATTTATAGAATTCATGATTTTGTGTTCTATTTTAATAGTAAACTCGTAATAAGAAGTTTTTTAAAAGAAAATGTATTTAAACTTTTCAGGACAAAAATATTTGATAGAATTTTGGAAGTTAAGATTTAACTTCATAACCCCTATAAGAAATCAAAATTGTATGTAACTTAGGTAAATACTGTTATTATTAGGTACGCTCGACTGTGATGTAATAAAACGATGAAATATTTGGAACGCTTTCACTCAAAGTAACCACAATTCGAATTTTGTCTGTGGGCGAGCGGTGGTTCCGTTTGGCCAGGCACCACTGTACGCCGTGCATGCAGATTGAAGTGCAGACCATGTCAAGGTAGCGGCTGCAGCTTTGGCCAGTAGATTAAATTAAACGTGGCAAAGGAGACGGCGCCAGAGGAGGACTAGCTCGGTGGCTCCGTGGACTTGGCAGCCGTGGCCAGGAGGAGCAACTGCAGCCATGCAGTGGCAAAGGCAACGGCAATGGCAACAACATTAAACGTGTTTACACCATGTCCGACCAGTTGATATGCCAACTGCCCCGACCTGTCCTGTCCTCGGTCTCCAGTCCCCAGTCCCCACTACACTTGCACTCGTACACACAGATGCGTAGCCAAGCATGAACTGCTCTTGGACAATGAACACATGCCATGGCAGGGCATTTCCACCCCACAACCTTTCTACCCATCCACCCACCACCCCCGACTATTGTCCTGCTCTTTGTTTACAGTTTTTCGAGGGGTTTCGCAGGCGAGTGAACTAGCAAAAAAAGCAAAGAATCACAATCACTGCATACTTGCAGGTGCAGCTGCTGTCATAATAATACAATAGAAAAGCTGGCGCTACAATTGCCACAGTTGTTGTTGCCCCGTTGTTGTTGCTGTTGCATTGTTGTGGGTTGCGAATTAACCACCCCCCGGCAGCACCACTTTTCCTCAGTCTTTCCCCACTATTTTTACCATCTTGGCGACCACGTTTTCATAGAAAAGTGTTGCATACTTTTCGCACTAGCACACCTTCCATGTGTCACAGTGTTCGTGTCGCCATGTGTTAAGTAAGTTCGGACAAGTGGCCTTCCCAGGCATTTTCCAAACACCTTCGCTCGCCACTTGGCCTGTCACTTAAGCTAAGCATCAAGAAGAAGCCATTTTTCATCAGAAAATAGTGCAAAGACATTGATTACGACTGGTGTATGCTGCCTTTTCGGTTTATGGGCCATAACTTCAGTTTGTATTTAGTTGCTACGTCAGCTATTTGCCATTCATAAATTTTTCAATCGAATTACCTCGGATTTCTCAACTAACAAGCCTCTAGGAAAATTGTTGTATTTGTATTCTGTGGCCGAGACAATCGGCAATGAAATTGATATCCTAAAATCAAAAAAAAACACAACGTTATCTTTATACTTAATTTAATAACTGGAGATAAAGTCAATTTCTTTAGCTGAAGAAAGGACACAAAGAAAAGTTTTATTTTTGTAATAAATACACACAAAAAAACACGACGGGATTAAATCAATATGTGTTGTAATGTTATTTACATTTCAAGCATGTCGAAATGATATGCCGAACATAAAGTCAAAATTTATACTCCATAATATCAAAGTGATCATCGTTTCATATCAAGTTTTTTTTGGGTGTATTTATTACTCGACATAATAGATGCTAAAAAATATCTTATAAATTAGAAATCAATTATTGAAAAACCAACTTTTATACCGACAAGAAGGGCTTTTCAGTGCGAATGACAAACTTCAGCAGCTATTCATACATCAGAGGACCATTGTTAAGCTCTCAACCTTCCACCTGCAAGTTGCAACTGTCTCACCGTCGTCAGTTTAGCCGCAGGAATCAAAGTCCAAATATTACGCTCATTTATTGACCGTCGGCAAACACAAACGAGAAGTCAAATGAAATTGCTATAAACGATGGACCGACCAACTTTTCCCCCGTCCATTCCCACTTCTCCAGGATCCAGGAGCCAGGCCCCAGGACTCAGGACCCTTCTATTGACAGGGGCATGTGTTTGAGCAGGGAGATGGAACCGGGGAAGAAGACAACTTCCTGGGTTGTCTTTTATAGAGTACGGCTGCCATAGAACTATCGCTAGGTAGGGCACAACAATTGCAGGAGATCGGCAATTTCCTGCTTGCCTCGCAGGCAACTTGATTACAAAGCACAAAAATCAATAGGAAATGCAGTTAAATATTTTGCAAGCCGAAATAATTGCATATCTGAACGATGGAGGTGTGGGCACTACTTATATATAAATGGCAGAGGGAAAGTAGTGGCACAATAAATGCAGCCAGCTGTCCGACATTGTTGGCAGAAATTATTTAATTAAAAGCCGAAACTGAAGTTGCCCGGAAAATGTTCCTCAGCTGTAAGCGCAACGGAAAACTTATGGATCATTGCAAACTTTCGACCCCCTTTTATTTTTTCCTCCCATAAGCCCCACCCACCATTGGCTGAGCTGAGCAGGTGAAAAAGTTTGCCAGTCAGCCTTCAACTTGTTAAACAATTTTCGTATATATTTTCGACAAGTTTGCGTCGTAAGTGCGAGTGTGCGGATGGTTAAAAATCTTAAAGATAGGGCGGGTGTAAAAAAAATATATAAAAGCAGCAGTTTCTGCCGGCTTTCGCTGTCTATCTGCGATTCCCCCTGACTGGCAACTTTGCCAGACTATTTTTCTGCCGCTTTGCATGTCAGTGCAGTCGGAAAGTTACTACCCATCCGTAGTTGCAGCCCCGATCCCCGATATTTTACCCACTATCCCTATCCCCCGTCGGCTTTTGTGCGCTCGAGCGCTCAGCGCCTCAGCAATATGCAATTGAATTTGCCCGGCTCCTCCATCCAGGTGCTTGGACTACACAGATAACACTGCAAAATACCATAAAGTGTGCGCTTAAAGGGTAACGATATCAATAATAAATAGCCAGCCGGTCTAGAAGCTCATGCAACAGTATCGCCCAAAAGCCAGTGTCGGGTGGAAAACAAAAAAATGCAGCAGAGACAGCAGAGACAGAACAACAAAAACAGACGAGAGCCTCTGGTCAAGTATTAA